GACCCGGAAGGGAGCTAGTAAACCTGTCCTTGTTTGCAGATGACATGATAGTGTACATAGACAACCCCATAGACTCCACTAAAAAACTATTCGACCTAATAAGTGAACTTGGCAAGACAGAGGCATACAGTGTCAATCTGCAGAAATCAAAGTCATTTCGGACAATGAAATACCACAATCAGAAATCAGGTAAAAAAATTCCCTTTTGCTGTACCGAGACAAAAAATGAAGTGCCTAAGAATAAACTTAAGCAAGGAGGTAAAAGACTTGTACTCCGAAAATGACACAACACTGAAGAAGGAAATTAAGGAAGACACATATAAATGGAAGCATATGCCATGCTCATGGATTGGAAGAATTACCATCATTAAAATGTCCATACTACCCAAAGCAATTTGTAGATTCAATGCAATCCCTATTAAAATACCAATGACGTATTTCACAGGTATAGAACAGACATGTCCAAAACGTATAGGGAACCATAAATGACCCTGAATAGGCACAGTGATTTTGAGAATGAAGAACAAAGGGGGAGGGATCCCAAAACCTACCATCAAACTCTATTACAAGGCCACTGTATTCACCACGGTCTTGTACTGGCATAAGAACAGAAACATAGATCAATGGAACAGAATAGGGATTCCTAAAATAAACCGATGTCTCCATGGTTCATTAATATTCATCCAAGGGGGCAGAAGCAGGAAATGGAATAAAAATCGCCTCTTCTGACAACTGGTGTTGGGAGAGCTGGACAGATACAAGCAAAACATTCAAATTCAACCATCAACTTACACGAGACAGAAAAATGAACGCAAGATGCCTAAAAGACTTAAATATAAGTCACGACACCGAACCTGTCCTAGAAGAGAACATAGGCAGGAAACACTAAGATATTCCAGCGGCAATATCTTCAACGATATGTCTCCTAAAGCACAGGACACAAAGGAAAGTATAAAAAGTGCGGCTTCATCAAAATAAGAAGCTTCTGCACGGCTAAAGAAAACTTCAGCAAAATGAAAAGGGAACCAACCGTATGGGAAAACATTTTTACCAATGATACCTCGGTCAAGGGCTTGTTCTCCAAAATGTATGAAGAACTCACACAACTCCACTCCAGGAAGACAACAAAAAAATCCAATTAAAAAGCGGGCAAAGGTCCTGAACAGACACTTTCCTAAGGAGGACATACACGGAGCCTAGAGACATATGAAAGGATGCTCAGCATCACTGGCCATCAGAGAGATGCAAATTAACATCACAATGAGATACCACTTCACACTGGTCAGAAAGCATAAACATATCAACAAACAAATGCTGGCAGGGTGGTGGAGAAAAGGCAACCCTAGTACACTGTTGGTGGGAATGCAGATGGCTGCAGCCACTGTGGAAAACAGTTTGGAATTTCCTCACAAAGCTCACTATGGAACTGCCTTTTGACTCAGCAAGTCCACTGCGGGGATTATACCCAAAGTATCCCAAAACACCAATTCAAAACAACCTATGCACCCCAATGTTCATAGCCGCACAATTTGCAATAGCCAAGTGCTGGAGGCAACCTGAAAGCCCCTCGATTCACGAGTGAATCAAAAAACTATGGTACATGGACACAACGGAATACTACAGAGCAGAAAGAAAGAAAGAGTAACTACCCTTCGCGACAGCACGGTTGGAACTAAGGGCATCTTGCGAAGCAATAGAAGCCAGGTGGGAAAAGACAAGTACCATATTATCCCACCGATAACAGGAACCTGTTCAATAAAACAAACAAGCAAGAAAAATACAACCAGAAATATCAAAGGGAAAAAAGAGCAAACAGCGAGAGGCGGGGAGGGGGAAGGGGAGTAACGGGGAAATGAAGGGGAAGGGTCAGGTAGAGGAACATGTATAAAAGACCCACGGACATAGCCAAGGTGGGGAAGGATTGAGGGAGGGAGGTGGGGTGGGTGGGGCTGGGGAAAGTGGGGAAAGTGGTGGTGGGAAAATGGAGACAAATGCATTTGAACAATAAATAAAAAAATGAAGCTCTTCAGAACTAAAAACAGTCCAGTCATACTAGTTGTTGATCAGTCTTAAAAACTCTGCCATTAATTTCTGCTTTGACCATTGACATTTCATGCAATATCAACGATGTTGTTTGTGGGCTTCCCATTTTATTGTTTCTTTCTGCGCGTGTGGCCTCTATCGTTGGCTCTTCAGGTTTCCTTTTTTTGCCTTCTTTGTGTGTTTTTGGATGATTTTTTCAGTATTCCATTCTAAGTTATCTGCTGGAATTCTAACGGTAACTCTTTGTATGTTGCTTTCGAAGGGACTGTTGTAAGTATTATAATATACACACCTAATTTCTCAGATTCTACACAGACGTAATGTTTCACCTCTGCAAGGACAGCACCTTATACCTGTGTCATCCCTGTTACCTCCACTGCCTTACGCTGCCATTGTTATATGTAGTACGTGTAACCCTGTCTACAAAGCCCAGCAGATACTGAGACTCTATGTTTTCCACAGACATACGTTTTTACTAAACTGAAGAGGAGGAAAATATGCTACTGCCTTTACTTAGATATTTACTTAGATATCTCTGTTCTTCCTTAATTCTGGAATTTCCACTGGTCCCTTGGGATTTACCTCCAGTCTGCCTGCAGAGCTTGTCGTCTCTTTTGAGCGGGTAGCCTGCTCTGTTGTCCATTCTGTTGCTTCCATTCCTGAAACACATTTCCTGGAGAATTTCAGGGGAACCTGTCTTGTCTTTCAGCACTTTTGACTCCTCTGATCGCACTGGTTTCTGAAAGGGAATCTGTAGTCATTGCACTCATGACCCCTCTACGTTTAATGTGCCATTATTTCTGGATGTTTTCAAGTTTCCCTCATTCATTTGATGATGCTTACGATGCACGTGGGCTTGGCGTTTGAGACTTGTAGTTGAGTTCTTTGGGCAGGAAAATGTAGGGCTTTCAAGACATTTAAGACACGGTCACCTACCATCTTCTTCCAATATGGCGTTTCTTCACTGATATCATTCTCCTTTTGCTAGGTGTTCAGTAAGCTAAGCTCCCTCACAGATCTGAGTTACTCTCTTTTCATGCTAAAAACCTGGAGGGCCTGCACACAGGCTCTTCTGTGGTGCCAGAGAGGGAGCTCCCAGGGAGAGAGGAAGAGCTTTGCTCGGGGAGGAGGGGCCTGAGGAGGAAGAAGTGAGGCAGAGGTTTGAAGAGGGGGATGAAGGAAAGGGTGGTGCTGCCTTGCAAAAACAGAAATCACTGAAGGGAACTGTTTGGGGAGAGAAAATCCACAGTCCCTGCTGCCTCTGAGAAACGGTGCTCAGTCTCCTCAGCACTTCCCCACGCTGCCCTCGCCCCTGGGGTCATCTTCCCCGTGACAGTGACGACCCCACGGGCTCCTCCAGGCACCTAGACGATGGGGGACAGCCTTCCTCTCTCACTCTCGCACTTATCAGCCCACCAGAGATCCCCACCGGCCCGTCCCCTGAGCCCCTCTGAACGATGTCCCCGATCCATCCCCGGACTCTAGGAGTCCCGTTATCATCAGCCATCAGCGTCCTCCCTGGACCTCCCGTCCAGGCCTCAGGCCTCTCTCCATTCCCTCCTCTCTCCGCCTCCTGGGGACTCTCCCTACAACTGATCTGGTCTGAGCCTGCCTGCACCGCCACCCCCCACCAGTTCCCAGCCTGACACAAGATCCCTGTTGCACCATCTCCTGTTCCAGGGTGTGAAAGTTCAGGCTGGGGCTAATCTCACCAGCCCCGGAAAGCATGACTCCTTCCATAAACAAACTCCCCCCATTGCCACACACCCCACCACCCCAAACCACACGCAGAAACTGAGGCATTAAAAATCTGTGCTTTCCTCAGCTGTTTCCTCAGCCACTGTGAACAGAGGCCCCTCCTCCCCAAATTCCAGACAGAACCAAGACCCCCTTTTCTCCTCCCAGTCAAGTCTAAGTGCAGTGAGCATTATAGGTTTTTGGGAATGACTTGGAATACTCCTCAGCGTGTCGCCCATGGCCCAGGGGAATGTTGGTGTTTTATTACTGATGGAGGTGATATTCAATAGAGCCTGCGTGCATGAGGTTTTCACATAGGGGTAGGCTTTGTGAAACATACATCTGTTTCTACCCTCTGTTGCTTAAAATTTTTCCCACTGTCTCCATGATAAAATCCAAGCCATCTGCACAGTGTCCCTGGTCTTTGTGAACAGGCCACACAGCCTTGGCTTGACAGCTACCCCTTCTGAGAACAGACCGAGATCTTTCTGGTTGAGGACACCCCAGCCCCGCTCCCCTGGACTGACCCCTGCTCATGCCTTGGGTCACCCATCCCCGTGAAGGACCCTCACAGCCAGGACCCAGCTGCATGACGCCCCCTCCCACGGAGCCTCACCGCCTCATTTTCCTTTTCCTCCCGACGCCTACAATCTCACGAGACTGCAACTGAGCCGCCGGCCGTCTCAGTATCTGCACTGTCTGTCTTCACTCATCGGAGGCCCCGTGAGTCCAGGGGAAGAATCTGGCAGCTTCCGCAGTGACTCCGCAGAGCCTGGCACCGTGACCGCACGCGGCCCCTGCTCAGTCAATACTGCCCGACGGCCTGGTCAGGGAGAAAACGGGGGAAATGGCCGTGACAGAGGCTCAGGAGAGGGACGTGACTTATGCAAGGAACAAAGAGTCTGAAATGGAGTAGCCATTGGGCTGCTCCTCCCCAGCCAGGGTCTCCTACCCTCTTGTTCTGGGACGGCTGTTACTCTCTGGGTTTCAGTGTCACGTGAGCTGGAGGCAGACATGGGGGCTCTGCTGAGACTCACCTCAGGGTGGAAGGTCCAGAGCTAGGTGCCTCCTGGGGCCCATGCTTCAGGGAGGGGAACTTCCCTTCCGGTGGCCGCCGATGAGGAACCTAAGAGATGTCACATGATGCCGGGGCCCTGTACGCCCCATTTGTCACCCTGACTTGCCAGTGAATCTCAAACGTCGTCTGCACACTGGAGACCATGGGAGGAGGCCCCAGGACCCCGACCCTCACGGCCCTCCTCTGCCTGGGTGAGCTGCAGGGAAGAGGAGGCGTGGGGGCCCTTCCCCTCCCAGGTCTTGGTCCCGAGGGACCCCAGGACTCAGGAGGCTCCCTGCGGACAGAAATGCTTGGGGGAGGAGAGGTGGCTCAGCCCCAGGTTGGACCCCAGTCTCGGGGCCCCGACCTGGCCTGGAGCCTCTGCGTGTGCGTTGAAGGATGATCTCACGGGGACTCCCTTCCAGGGCTGTGTGGGGGCCCCTGGGACCAGGTCCGGGCAGGTGAGTCCTCCCCCCTGACCTCCTGCTTCAGCACAATGACCCCTGGGCCGCTGGGGACACACAGTGGGTCTGCAACGATGGTGACCACTCTGGGAAGGGCCTTGGAGTGACAGTTGGGGGAAGTGCGGGGAGAAGGGCACCCCCTGACACCGCGCGTCTGAACCCTTTTCAGAGGCCTTCCCCAGACCCTCCCTCCGGGCCGACCCAGGCACCATGGTCAGCAAGGGCAGCCCTGTGACCCTCTGGTGTCAGGCGTCTCTGCGGGCTGATGCCTACGGTCTGTATAAAGAGAGGGGCTCTGAGCCCCGGCTTACGAGGATCCCACAGGCCTCCAGCAACAAGACCGGGTTCCGCATTCCATCCACGACATCACACGATGCAGGGCTATACGAGTGTGCCTACAGCCTTGGGCGCAACCTGTCGGAGCGCAGTGAGCCCCTCGTCCTGGTGGTGACGGGTAAGGAGGACCCCGGTCCCCTCCCCACTGCGGGCTCCCCCTCAGAGGCTGAAGGGAACAGAGTGGGGCTTTAGGGGGCTGCACCCCTCCCAGCCTGCAGCTGGGGAAGGTGGGGTGTTGCTCACCTTTAACTCACATCCTCCTTCTCCCTCAGGAGTGGACAGCGCCCCCTCCCTCGCAGCCCAGCCAAGCCCGGTGGTGGCCTCAGGGGGGGAACGTGTCCCTCGTGTGTACCTCACAGTCCACATCCGGCCCTTTCCACCTGCTGAACGAGGGAGGGGCTCAGCCGCCGTTACGCATGGAACCGGAACGGAGGTCCAACGATGGGAGGTGGCAGGCGGTCTTCCCTGTGGGCCCCGTGAGTGCCTCCCATGGCGGGACCTACAGATGCTATGCTTCTCACAGCTCCTACCCTAATATGTGGTCACACCCCAGTGACCCTCTGCACATCGAAGTCACAGGTGAGGTGACCCACATTTGCTGCAACTTTTTCTGTGCCTTAAATAACTGATCTAAACCCTCTGTTTAATAAAACCCTGGGATCATGGGAGTCAGTGACATTCATTCCTGGGGACAGAACCACAGGCGGAGACCTGGAGTGGGGCATGTGCGAACTGTCCCTGCACCCCCATAGGCGACAGGGTGTATCCCCAGGGTGCCAATGGCCCTTCTCCCCAGGCGTGTACAGGTCGCCCTCCCTCCGGGCCCAGCCAGGCTCCCTGCTGCTGCCTGGGGACAGCCTGACCCTCCAGTGTCGCTCGGAGCCCGGCTTTGACAGATTCGCTCTGACCAAGGATGAGGGGCCCACACCCCCTCAGCATCTCGAGGGGCAGCGCAGCCCCGACTTCCCCCTGGGCCCTGTGACCCGCACCCACGGGGGCCGGTACAGGTGCTACAGCGGACACAGCATCTCCCATGCGTGGTCGGCCCCCAGCGCCCCCCTGGACGTCCTGATCGCGGGTAAGGAGCCCTGCCCTGTCCCCTGTCCTGACTGTCTGCTCAGGGTCAGACCGGGGTCACCGTGGAGGTGATGGGGCCCAGGAGAGGGTCCTGGAGCAGAGGCGATTGGGGGCTGAGGTCTAGGGAGGGAGAAAGGGGAGGGAGGGGCATGGCTATAGAAGACGCCACCCAGAGGGACTGAGAGGAGCTGACAGGGGTCGCCGACAGCGTCCTGCGGAAAGACATTGTCACTTACCTCAGGGCGCACGGCATTCGAGGCAGTGACCCTCTGCACAGCACCGCCCTCCCTCCCCAGGAGCGGACAGCAAACCCTCCCTGTCGGCCTGGCCGCCGCCCCCGGTGCCCAGGGGAGCGAACGTGACCCTGCTGTGTCGATCTGAGACCAGGGCTGACACCTTCCACCTGCACAGGGAGGGCTCCCTGGACCCTCCCCTGGAGCTTCGTCTGCAGGGCACGGCTGCCCCCTCGGAGGCCACCTTCACCATCAGTCCTGTGACCTCGGGCCACAGTGGGACCTACAGTTGCTACAGCTCCCACAGCGCCTCCCCCTTCCTGCTCTCACAGCCCAGTGACCCCCTGGAGCTCCTGGTCCCAGGTGAGGAGCCCCTACCCCACCCATGTCCCCATGGTCAGGTCAGGACCCTGTCCCCCTGGAGACTTTGGTTTGGATCAGGAGTGAGCGGGTGAGAGAGGGAGGGTCAGCCTGTGGGACTCTCACCTCCCAGAGGGATGGAAAAGCCAGAGCCACCCCTCTCCTGCCTCATCCTCATCCTCATCCCTGAGGCTCAGACAGCAGCCAGGTGCCCAGGGAGGCAGGGGAGGCCTTGGGCAGGGCCCAGGCAGGAAGGGACAGAGGCGCCCATCCCCACCCCCTCCTTCTGCAGCGCCCAGGGCGCACCCAGAGACCAGGACCAGGTGGTGACTAGCAGAGGCCTTGCTCCCAGACAGAACACGATCACCCGCCCTGGCTTGCCTGTCTCCCAGGGGCGCTGGGGCCGGGCAGAGAAGGTGGGGGTATCATGGGGCCCCCAGGGCCGTGAGGCTGACAGGGGACAGGTGGGGCGGTCATGGCAGGGAGAGGTCTGTGGTCCCTCCCAGGGAAAGGGCAGCCAGGCTGAAGCGGGGCGAAGGCAGCCCCCACTCCTCACCCCCAATCCTGATTCCCAGGCAGTTCTGAGGATCGGCCTCTCCCCACCAGACTCAAGCCCATAAAGTGATTGGTAAGGGTCTCTGTGGGGAGGTGGTGGGTGTGTCCTCAGGGGACAGGGGCTGAGTCCCTGGAAGTTTAGGTTCCTCTGGAGGCTCTGACTTGGACTAGCCCTCCCCCTCTCTGTGCCTCAGTGTCTCCACATGTAAACGGAGAGAATCCTGGCCCAGAGCTTAGATTGCTTTCAGTTCTGGCTCTGACCTCCTAGGACAGGGAACTCACATGGAAGATCCTCAGGATATGATGAAATGGGGACTGTCCCCTCTGTAGCAGGGACTGTGACACTTCAGGGATGACAGGCAGGACAAGGGTCTGGGGCACTGAAATCCTTTCCTCAGTTCTGGTGCTCAGCTCAGAGGAGGGAGCCAGGGCTGGAGTCCGACCTGGGTCAGGTCCTGGCTCTGCGGCTCCCGCTGTGGGGCCCACAGTCCCTTCTCTTCTCTGAGTGTTCGGTTCATGTCTGTCATCCCTGGTCCCCTCCTGCTCACAGGCCTGTGGTGACATTAGGGGATATGAGGGGCCTCACAGAGCTCAGGAAGGCAGAGCCCCAGCCCAGCCACACCTTCCCAAGGGGACATCAGGGCCCTGCAGAGTGGACATGATCCTGGGAGAGACACAGAGTTCACCGCACCCCTGCCCCTCCCGTGTCCCTCCTGGGCTGGGGGGCAGGGAATAGGGCAGGACCCTCCGCTCCAGATGGGACAGGACAGGCCCCTGCAGAGGAGGAGCCCAGAGCTCGGAGCTGGTGTCCCCAGGGGGCAGCATGGGGGCAGCACAGGGAACCCACGTCCGGGGTCCGGTCCCTGCCCTGCCCCGGCCAGGCTGGGGGCCCCGGGGCACGCGGCTCACCTCTCTGAGCCCCCGGGGACTGGGCGGTGGGTCAGCGATCCCTGGTGCAGGGGGGCTGTGAGGTTAGAGGAGACGAACCACAGACCCTAGTATGTGCCTCGCACACAGTAGGGGCTCATGAAAGGGCATCATGGCTCATTTATGACGTCACTGCAGTCCAGGGTCACCAATGGTCCCTGAAGATCCTGATCGGGGCCTCGGTGACCTCCGTCCTTCTGCTCGCCCTCCTCCTCTTCCTCTTCTTCCGATGCCAGCGTCAGAGCAAAGTCAGGACGTTGGGTGAGTAGGGGACAGGGTGACCTGAGCCACAGGAGAGAGAGGTTCAGAGCACCTGTCACAGGAGAAAAAAGTAGTTGGAGAAGGTCAGCTGAGAAACAGATTTCTCTGGAATATCAAATCAGAAAACCTGGAAAGAATACTTTTAATGTTGGTACACGTATACAAACTTAAAGTAATTTTTCATCATTTTCAATCTCCTGAATATGGAACATACACACAAGCGTGTTAGGGTTTCTGCTTTCCTCTGGAATCACACAGAAAGGGGTCCCTACCCGCCCAGGGCAGAGACTTTCCCTCTGGAACAGCCCAGAGAGAGGCTGATCTCTGACCTCCTGCAGATCTGCTGATGCCCAGGAAGGGCCCCTCCTTGAGAGGAAGGGATGGCTGGCCTGGGGGAGGGGCACAGGGGTTCCAGGAGGCCACGGGGGAGGGGACAGCCTGGGAGGGCGTGGGGTCAGGGGCGAGGGGGACGGAAATCCCCACAGCCTGACCTGGCCCCTCACCTCACCCTGGGTTAGTGGTCCATCTGGGGGCAGCGGGTCTGCAGCCCTGGGATCCCGGGGACCCTGCCAGGAGACACACCCTGTTCTGCTCCTACAGATGCTGCCGTGAAGGACCCACAGGCTGGGGAGGGCGTGGAGCTGGACCCTCGGGTGAGACCCCTGCCCCTGTCCAGGCCTCCAAGGACCTTCCTGTTGCCCAGTTCACTCCAATGGTCCCTCCCCTGTCCTCCCCTCCCCTGGTTCTCAGCAGCGTCCACACTGACCTCTCCTTCTGGGCACCAGGCCGTCCTGCTGTGACTCACTCCTCCCTTTCCTGGGACCTCATGGCCCCTCCTGGGGGGGTCCCCTGGGCTGGCCCCTCGTCCCCTGTGTGACCTTGGGCAGCCCCAGGTCTCAGGAGGAGGCGCGAATGAGTGACTCACCCCAGGCCCCAGGGCCCCTTCACTCAGTCACGCAGCCGCCGTGACGGGAGCTCCCTGGGCACCGGCTCCATGTAGGGGCCGCGGTGCCGCCCCGAGCAGCCTGTCCCCCACTCGTCCAGCCCACCTGTGGGCGAGGGAGACACCTGCACACAGGTGATGACGTCAGGAGGGCCAGCTGCTGTGAAGGAGAATAAAGCAAGAGCAGGGGGTGGAGTGCGTGGTGAGGGGGGAGAGCAAACAGCAGGTGCAAAGGTCCTGAGGCAGGACATGCGCTTCAGCCAGAGGGGCCGAGTGGGTGGAGCTAAATGAGCAGAGACAGTGAATTAGGTTACAAGTCAGAACCGTAGACCCTTCCAGATGCCCCAAGGCTCAGGAAGCCCCTGCAGATTCCGTCAGGACAGTGACCTCATCTGACCTGAAGTTTAAATTATCAATCTGGCTACACACGGATAATTCAGTTGAATCAAAGAAACTCTCTTCCTGTCTCACTGTCTCCCTGCAGCAGAACAGGCCCCATGACGACCGCGAGGGAGTGACATATGCCCAGGTGAACCGTTCAAGATCAAGGCTCAGGCAGGGAATGGCCTCCTCTCCTTCATCATCAAGATTATGGGACAAGAAGGGCAGAAAAGAAGAAGGGGAAAGACAGATGGACAGACAGGTGGGTCCCACCCTCTCCAGCCCCCAGGCATCCCCAGCCCCAGCCACGTCTCACCCTCTCACTGTCCCCTGCTCCAGGCTGCTGCACCTGCTGCCCCCCAGGAGGTGACCTATGCCCAGCTGAACCACTTCACCCTCAGACGGGAGACGAGTGCACCCCCTTCCTCCCTGTCAGAGGAGCCCCCGGCTGAGCCCAGTGTGTACGCTGCTCTGGCCGTCCACTTGCCCAGGAAGGACCGAGACCCCACACTCTAGGGAGGGGGTCTGCAGGGGCCCCAGAAGGCACAGGAGTTCCCCCCAAGGACACTCAGCAGTGGCCCCGGCCAGCCTGGTGACCTGAGATGGACCCCCAGCAGCTTCTGGGCCCCCCTGGGAGCCCCCTGCTTCTGCAATCACAGCCAACTACTACCCCTACACCTTGGGATCAAAGCAGCAGACTTCTCAAGAATCAATGTGTGAATTTACAACCAAAATGGAAGTGGGGGAATGCTTTCAAGGAATGATAATGTAAATACTACACATCAAACCTACAAAATGGAAAATTAAGACTATCTTAGAAAAGAAAAAGGCCAAGACAAAAATCAACCTAAGCGTCCTTCCACAAATGTTGAGGTAAAGTTGTGGTATCTGTGAAAGGAATGTTACTCAGCCATAAAAAATAAAATACTGTCAATGCAATGACATGGATGTGTCTTGAGAGTATCATGCTAAGTGGAATAAGTCATACAAGAAAGCACAAGAACTATATGACTTTACTCATATGTGGTTGGAATCTGAAACTCTGAACTGTCATATATGTTAACTATATTGAGCTTGTAATTAAAAATTTTCCTGTGAAGTGACTGTGGAGTCTGAAAAGCTTCACAGCTAAATGCTTCTGAACACGTATGCATGTATGAAACACACACACCCATGCACACACACGGGTATACACACAAAGATACACACATATACACACACGAACATACACTTGGACACAGACATTCAGAAAGCAATAGGTAAAAAAAAGAAAACAAACTCATAGATTCAAACATCAAAAAAATGGTTTCCTGAGGGGAAGGGTGTTGGGAGAGGATGAAAAGGGTAAAGGAGGTTTTGGGTATGGTGACCGAATGAGACTAGACTTCGGCTGGTGGGCACAGCAAGGAGCATACAGGTGATGTATTATGTCAAAGATTTACAGGAAGAGTAGCGAAGTATTCTCAATGAGGAGAGAAGGAGGAGAATAATAACAATGAGAGGAGCTCCTGAGGATAAACAAAACATGAGTCAGGAAAGCCCCAAAATTTCATTCTTGAAAACGTTAATCCTGCCACAGAGTCCAGCCCAGTGGGCACGGAACGAAGCGAGAAGACTCGCGTCACCTCTGCCAGGACAGCATCTCATCTCAGATGCTACGTTTCAAACAGGTAACAGAGCTCCGTGAGGCTCCTCTGCCTGAGACGCAAATAAAAGTGCATGTCAACAGTACTGTAATAACAAATTAATGAATTGTTTAAGAGAACATTATGAACCCTTTTATAGCAATGTATCAGAAAACATAGCCCTGGCTGGTGTGGCTCAGTGGACTGAGTGCTGGCCTGGGAACCAAAGGGTGGCGGGTACAGATTCCCAGTCAGGGCACAGGCCTGGGTTGCAGGCCAGGTGCCTAGTAGGGGGCGTGTGAAAGGCAACCACACATGGATGGTTCTCTCCCTCTTTCTCCCTCCCTTCCCTTCTGTCTAAAAATAAGTAAATAAATTTTTTTAAAAAATGTAGATGAAGTGGACAAAATCCACCAAAATTTACCAAAATGATGGACACAAAACAAATAGAAAATATGAACTGTCTCATATTAAATGTATTGAATCTGTAATTTAGTATTTTCCCACAAAATGAACATGGATTCGGTCACCCGCGGAACCACCAAAAAAGAAACAAACAAGAAAATGAACATGGTGTCTGGGAAGATTCGTTGTTAAATGCTTCCCTACACTTTTGTGTGAAACACACACACATGCCCAGATGGACACTCAAGCTTCTCCTGAGACAGGAGGAGAAAGGCACATCTCCCAACACAGTTTATCAGGCCAGAAATAAAGCGATAACAAAACCGAACGACGGCGCTACAAAGAGGGAGCATCGCAGGAAGCTCTCCCAAAACAAAAGAGTGAACAAGATGCATGTGTACAGAAACTGGATACTCTCTCCCGACCGCGCAGGTGTCTGATTTCAGGAATGCATGGTTGGTTTCACATTCAACGCATCCATCAGTGGTATTCAAACATGAAAAGTAATAGCCAACCACCACCACAACAAAAAGGTCCTATCAACATATGCAAAACTTTCGTTAAAACACAGCGCCCATCTATAATGAAAAACTCTTCAGGAGTAAAAGGAATTTTTTATCATTTATTAAAGCCCTCCTCAGAAACTTTATAGAAGAAATAATGTTTAAACGTAAAAACTTGAACACGTTTTGCCTGCAGTCGACCTGGCACAAAAGTTGTCACTACGGAACTGCGCCTGCGCACAGCCTCACCGCGAAGGACGCCTGCGCGTCACCAGCTCCGTCCCAACGCCGGTTTAACGGGCAGGGGAGGGGGCGCTCCGCCGGGCGAGTGTGGCTCCCTCACCCCCACCCCCACCGCCTTCCTCCGCAGGGCGAGGGGAGGGCGGCCACCCCAAGCCCCGCCCAGACGCGGGCCCCGCCCAGCGACCGGCGCCCGGAGCAGTTCTCGCTCGCGCAGCGCCAGCTGTGGTTCGGGGCCCACCCCCACCCCTGCTTTGGCTCCGCCTCCGCACCTGCACCTGCCCCTCCAGCGCCCACCACAGCATCTTCTGAACCGGCACCTGCTCGTGCAACCCAGCGGGAGAGCCCTGCAGAAGAGCCGGCCGGAGCCCCCTCGACGGTCGGGACAACCGGACATTGTTCCCCGTCAAACCTTTCTGAAGGTGCACCGAGCGCGCTGTGACAGGTCAGTCCTCTGAGAACATGGTCACTGAGATCCTGTCGATGGGCTGTGAACTCGAACAAGCGATGGCAGCCCTGCGAGCCGCCTTCAAGGACCCTGACAGCTGCGATGTGTCCTTAAAGGGGACCCCCGGAACCGAGGAAGTCAGGCTGTTGCTTGGTCCCCGTCCCGCGGCTCGTCCCGGGGCGCCGCAGCCCAGGGCCTGGTCCCTGGAGATTCTGAAGAGGGATAAAGTTGTGGTTGAGACATTGTGTATTTACTACTTTCCAGCCAATTGCATATTTTAAAAGGCTCAATTCTATCTTACGTGAATTTATGTCATTAAAAAGAAATGCAACTCAGTCCCCATGGTTCCCTGTGGATCCTTTTCACCTTAGAAGTTGCCCCGTGTCCCCGTGCACTTTCATGGGACCCAGGACCCCCACCAGGTCCGAGATGCGCTCCGTGCCCTGTGCTCAGGGCTCAGCCCCTGGTGGGGTTCCCACCCTCACTCCTGAGAGGGGCTGAGACCAGGACACAGGACGAGCCGCCGCGTCCCTGTCTCCTCTCAGTCGGGGCTCACGTGCCATTCGGCCAAGGACGCCCTAGAGCTTCTGATTCCCCCTCACGGCTTCGGGGACACAGATGCCGCTTCCTAGTGGCCCTTCCTGCCACACGTCTCTCATGCCCGCGTCTAAGTCAGGCCCCAGGAATGACTCCGATGGAGCCTCTTCGTGTCCCAGGCTCTGCTGACCCTCCCGACAACCGTGAGGCTGAGCTTCCAGCCTTGTCTGCAATGAGGGAAAGGGAGAGGGGGGTGACTGGCTCACACAGACGGTGAATAAACGCTTCCCCGTGTCTTGGATTAAAACCTGCGAATAGTCTGCAACGAGGGCTTTTGCCCAGCACATGGGGGTGGACTGAGCTGGGCCAGAGGTCGGGTTATCCCCTCCCAGAGCAGGGCCCTGAGGAGGCAGACATGCCCCAGGGGCCCGGAAGGGAGACCTGCAGAGAAGGTCTCCTGCCCACAGATGCAAGGGAGGCAGAGAGAGGAAGCGCCAGGGACAGACAGAACCACAGGCCCGGCCAGGGGGGCAGGTGGATCCGGCTGTGGGTGAGGTGACGCTGCTGTAACCCTGGCCCCACGTCTGCGGCCGTCCACGGGTCGGTCAGTCCTGGGACGGTCCCACTGGCTCCCAGGCGACCCAGGGAGAGAGCGGGGGGGCCTCAGGTCTTCCCTCTCCTGCCCCCACATGATGAACACACCCCCACTCTGACCCGGAGCCCCCCTCTCTGCCAACCAGTCCCCTCCTCAGTTTTACCCACATCAAGACCCACTACATCCTGTTGGTGGGACCAGACAGCCTCCTCTCTGGCCCCCGGCAGACCCGCCCTCCCAGCTGAGGGGCTGGACTCTCACGCACCTGAACTTACCTGTCCCGGACCCGCCCTGCACAAAGCCTCCCCCCAGGTCCCCACCTGCTCCAGCAACACCCAGGCAGCTCCACCTGACGGTCCCTGGGGCTGCAGATCGGGCTCAGCTACACCCTCCATCCCAAGCGGAGCCAACTCCTCCCTGCACACCAGGCCCTTCCCATGCCCACCTCCCTGCCAGACTCACACCTGGGTCAGACCACACTGGGCTTGTCGTGGGAGCCACCTGAGCTGCCCCGCTCAGCGCTGACCCCGCACGCCTCCTAGACCAACATAATGACAAGACACACTCCTGCTTCATCTCACGCCGTGTGAAATAATTCACTGTTCGGGGATTTCTGTTCCATCTCTTGAGAAATTCGCAGAAACCTCTAAGGTTGCTGATCGGCTCCTCACTTTGGTGTCCGATTAGCGTGGCGGTTTTCTCGGAGGTTATCGTCCACGCCTCACTGCTACGCCTGTGCCCACAGAGCGGCGTCTTCTCAAAGCAGCAATCGGCTCACACGTTCCTTCACTGCAAAGGTTTCCACTACCTTTAGGGTCTCACAGAGGAGCCCCCCCAGGGAGCGGAGGCCCCGGGGGACCAGGGCACAGCACACCCTGGTGACTCCCAGCTCTTAGAATCACCCCACTCTTCCAGCCCATTCCTCTCAGCCCCGTGCTGACCCCTCGGTGTCCGGCTCCCTCCCTCCCCTGCAGGCCGCCTCTCTCCGGGACATCCACCTGCTATGGAGTCTCTCTGGGCTCCGTTTTTCTCCTTCTCTGAGAGTTACCTTCTCTGAGAGTTACCGTAACAACACACACAGCCTCCGGTGCCTAAAGAATTGTGTTGTCTGAGGTCACCGGTCAGCACGGCATGTGCCCAGGGGAGGATTCGGTCAGCTTCCCCAATCCTCTGCCCGTCTGGACAGAGCACTTGCTCGGTAATCATCGGTTGGTTGCCGGATGGAGAGAGGCCGGAAAGACCTTTGCATTTGCATCGTCTCAGGAAAAGGAAGTGAATTGCCCATGGTGACGCGGGTTCCAGAAACGGCAGAGTCAGAGCTGGAACAGAGACTGGGTGCTCCTGAGTCCTGCCCGGGGTCCTCTCCCTCTCGGTCCGGGGCAGGCGTCGCCCTCTGGATTTGGGAGGCACATGAGGCGCAGGCAGAGCGTGTGGGGTCTGCTGAGACTCAGACGCCGTCCCCAAGGTCCCAGAGTCTGATGACTCCCCCCACCTCCTTCAGGAGAGCAGACTGCAGCCGTGGAGGACACTGTGAGTCGACACAGGAGCCGCACCCTTGTTGTACCCTGCGTCTGTCTGTGCGGCTGGGCACCTGGACATCGGAGGTCACCTGCTCCGCCGGGAACCCTGGGAGACAGCGTCATGACCCTGACCTTCATTGCTCTGCTCTCTCTCGGTGAGATTTGGGGAAAAGGGAAGGATGGGTCCCCTCCCCTCCCTGGCCCAGCCTCGGGGGGCCCAGTGGGGGCAGAAATTCCATGGGGAAAAGATATTGGCTCAGGCCCAGGTCGGACCCCAGCGCTGGGGGCCCTGACCCGGTTGGAGCCTCTGCGTGTGGGATGAAGGATGATCTCACGGGGACTCCCTTCCAGGGCTGTGTGGGGGCCCCTGGGACCAGGTCTGGGCAGGTGAGTCCTCCCCCTGACCTCCTGCTTCAGCACAATGACCCCTGGGCCGCTGGGGACACACAGTGGGTCTGCAACGATGGTGACCCGTCTGGGAGGGGCCTTGGAGTGACAGCTGGGGGAAGTGCGGGGAGAAGGGCACCCCCTGACACCGCGCGTCTGAACCCTTTTCAGAGGCCCTCCCCAGACCCTCCCTCTGGGCTGACCCAGGCCCCATGGTCAGCAAGGGCAGCCCTGTGACCCTCTGGTGTCAGGGGTCTCTGCGGGCTGATGCCTACACTCTGTATAAGGAGAGGCGCTCTGAGCCCCGGCTTACGAGGATCCCACAGGCCTCCAGCAACAAGACCGAGTTCCGCATTCCATCCACGACCTCACACGATGCAGGGCTATACGAGTGTGCCTACAGCGCTGGGCGCACCCTGTCTGAGCGCAGTGAGCCCCTCGTCCTGGTGGTGACGGGTAAGGAGGACCCCGGTCCCCTCCCCACTGCGGGCTCCCCCACAGAGGCTGAAGGGAACAGAGTGGGGCTTTAGGGGGCCGCACCCCTCCCAGCCCGCAGATGGAGAAGGTGGGGTGATGGCCCCTCTAACTCACATCCTCCTCCTTCAGGAGCGTTCAGCGCACCGTCCCTCGAAGCCCAGCCAAGCCCGGTGGTGACCGCAGGGGGGAACGTGTCCCTGGTGTGTAGCTCACAGTCATCATTCGGCCCTTTCCACCTGCTGAAGGAGGGAGGGGCTGAGCCCGCCCGACACATGGCATCGCAATGGAGTGACTCACACAGCAGCGGGCAGGCCGTCTTCCCTGTGGGCCCCGTGAGCGCCTCCCACGGGGGAACCTACAGATGCTACGCTTCTCCCAGCTCCTACCCCAATGTGTGGTCACATCCGAGTGACCCTCTGCGCATCGAGGTCACAGGTGAGGTGGCCCCCTTGGCTCCAGTTCTTTCCTGTGCCCCAAATATCTCATCTAAACTTGTTCTAGTAAATCCCTGGGGATTGTGAGGGTCAGTGACGTGGGTTTATTGGGGACAGAAACACAGGCAAGACTAGAGGGACAGGTGAGGACTCTCCCTGCAGCCCCAGTGGAGGGGGGGATGGGTGTCCCCTGGCTGCCAATGGCCCTTCTCCCCAGGCCTGTACAGGTCGCCCTCCCTCCGGGCCCAGCCAGGCTCCCTGCTGCTGCCTGGGGACTACCTGACCCTCCAGTGTCGCTCGGAGCCCGGCTTTGACAGATTCGCTCTGACCAAGGACGAGGGGCCCACACCCCCTCAGCATCTCCTCTCCCAAGGAGAGACAGGAGACAGGGCCGCATGGTGTTTGGGGGCGGGGTCACGCAAACATCTCCTTGCACCAGATCAAACTGGTGACTGAGACATCGAGTATTTACAGTCCAGTGAATCCTGTATTACTAAAGGCTCCATTCTATGTTCCAAGAACTTATGCCATTAAACAGTAACGCAAACCCATCCCCATGGTTCCCTGTGGATCCTTTTCACCTTAGAAGTTGCCCCGCGTCCCCGTGCACTTTCATGGGACGAGGACCCCCCACCAGGTCCGAGATGCGCTCCGTGCCCTGTGCTCAGGGCTCAGCCCCTGGTGGGGTTCCCACCCTCACTCCTGAGAGGGGCTGAGACCAGGACACAGGACGAGCTGCCACGTTCCTGTCTCCTCTCAGTCGCGGCTCATGTGCCATTAGGCCAAGGACGCCCTAGAGCTTCTGATTCCCCCTCACGGCTTGGGGGACACAGATGTGGCTTCCCAGTGGCCCTTCCTGCCACACGTCTCTCATGCCCGCGTCTAAGTCAGGCCCCAGGAATGACTCCGATGGAGCCTCTTCGTGTCCCAGGATCTGCTGACCCTCCCGACAACCGTGAGGCTGAGCTTCCAGCCTTGTGTGCAATGAGGGGAAGGGGAGAGGGGGGTGACTGGCTCACACAGACGGTCAATAAACGCTTCCCCGTGTCTTGGATTAAAACCTGCGAATAGTCTGCAACGAGGGCTTTTGCCCAGCACATGGCGGTGGACTGAGCAGGGTCAGAGGGCGAGTTATCCCCTCCCAGAGCAGGGCCCTGAGGAGGCAGACATGCCCCAGGGGCCTGGAACGGAGACCTGCAGAGAAGGTCTCCTGCCCACAGATGCAAGGGAGGCAGAGAGAGGAATCGCCAGGGACAGGCAGAACCACAGGCCCGGCCAGGGGGGGCAGGTGGATCCGGCTGTGGGTGAGGTGACACTGCTGTAACCCTGGCCCCACGACGGCGGCCGTCCACGGGGCGGTCAGTCCTGGGACGGCCCCATGGGCTCCCCAGGCCACCCAGGCAGAGAGGGGAGGGGCCTCAGCTCTTCTCTCTCCTGTCCCCACACGATGAACACACCCCCACTCTGACCCGGAGCCCCCTCTCTGCCAACCAGTCCCCTCCTCAGACTCGTGCACGTCAAGGCCCAGGACATCCTGTTGGCGGGACCCCGACAGCCTCCTCTCTGGCCCCCGGCAGACCCGCCCTCCCAGCTTAGGGGCTGGACTCTCACGCACCTGAACCTCCCTTTCCCGGACCCGCCCCGCACAAAGCCTCCCCCCAGGTCCTCACCTGCTCCAGCAACACCCAGGCAGCTCCGCCTGACGGTCCCTGGGGCTGCAGATCGGGCTCAGCTACACCCTCCATCCCAAGCGGAGCCAACGCCTCCCTGCCCACCAGGCCCTTCCCATGCCCACCTCCCTGCCAGACTCACACCTGGGTCAGACCACACTGGGCTTGTCGTGGGAGCCACCTGAGCTGCCCCGCTCAGCGCAGACCCCGCACGCCTCCTAGACCAACATAATGACAAGACACACTCCTGCTTCATCTCACTCCGTGTGAAATAATTCACTGTTCGGGGATTTCCGTTCCATCTCTTGAGAAATGCGCAGAAACCTCTAAGGTTGCTGATCGGCTCCTCACTTTGGTGTCCGATGAGCGTGGCGGTTTTCTCGGAGGTTATCGTCCACGCCTCACTGCTACGCCTGTGCCCACAGAGCGGCGTCTTCTCAAAGCAGCGATCGGCTCACACGTTCCTTCACTGCAAAGGTTTCCACTACCTTTAGGGTCTCACAGAGGAGCCCCCCCAGGGAGTGGAGGCCCCGGGGGACCAGGGCACAGCACACCCTGGTGACTCCCAGCTCTTAGAATCACCCCACTCTTCCAGCCCATTCCTCTCAGCCCCGTGCTGACCCCTCGGTGTCCGGCTCCCTCCCTCCCCTGCAGGCCGCCTCTCTCCGGGACATCCACCTGCTATGGAGTCTCTCTGGGCTCCGTTTTTCTCCTTCTCTGAGAGTTACCTTCTCTGAGAGTTACCGTAACAACACACACAGCCTCCGGTGCCTAAAGAATTGTGTTGTCTGAGGTCACCGGTCAGCACGGCATGTGCCCAGGGGAGGATTCGGTCAGCTTCCCCAATCCTCTGCCCGTCTGGACAGAGCACTTGCTCGGTAATCATCAGTTGGTTGCCGGATGGAGAGAGGCCGGAAGGACCTTTGCATTTGCATCGTCTCAGGAAAAGGAAGTGAATTGCCCATGGTGACGCGGGTTCCAGAAACGGCAGAGTCAGAGCTGGAACAGAGACTGGGTGCTCCTGAGTCCTGCCCGGCGTCCTCTCCCTCTCGGTCCGGGGCAGGCGTCGCCCTCTGGATGTGGGAGGCACATGAGGCGCAGGCAGAGCGTGTGGGGTCTGCTGAGACTCTGACGCCGTCCCCAAGGTCCCAGAGCCTGATGACTCCCCCACCTCCTTCAGGAGAGCAGACTGCAGCCGAGGAGGACACTGTGAGTCGACACAGGAGCCGCACCCTTGTTGTACCCTGCGTCTGTCTGTGCGGCTGGGCACCTGGACATCGGAGGTCACCTGCTCCGCCGGGAACCCTGGGAGACAGCGTCATGACCCTGACCTTCATTGCTCTGCTCTCTCTCGGTGAGATTTGGGGAAAAGGGAAGGATGGGTCCCCTCCCCTCCCTGGCCCAGCCTCGGGGGGCGCAGTGGAGGCAGAAATTCCATGGGGAAAAGATATTGGCTCAGGCCCAGGTCGGACCCCAGCGCTCGGGGCCCTGACCCGGTTGGAGCCTCTGCGTGTGGGTTGAAGGACGATCTCACGGGGACTCCATTCCAGGGCTGTGTGGGGGCCCCTGGGACCAGGTCCGGGCAGGTGAGTCCTCCCCCTGACCTCCTGCTTCAGCACAATGACCCCTGGGCCGCTGGGGACACACAGTGGGTCTGCAACGATGGTGACCCGTCTGGGAGGGGCCTTGGAGTGACAGCTGGGGGAAGTGCGGGGAGAAGGGCACCTCCTGACACCGCACGTCTGAACCCTTTTCAGAGGCCCTCCCCAGACCCTCCCTCTGGGCTGACCCGGGCCCCGTGGTCAGCAAGGGCAGCCCTGTGACCCTCTGGTGTCAGGGGTCTCTGCTGGCTGATGCCTACTATCTGTATAAAGAGAGGGGCTCTGAGCCCTGGCGTACGAGGATCCCACAGGCCTCCAACAACAAGACCGAGTTCCGCATTCCATCCACGAGCTCACACGATGCAGGGCCATACGAGTGTGTCTACAGGGCTGGGCGCACCCTGTCTGAGCGCAGTGAGCCGCTCGTCCTGGTGGTGACGGGTAAGGAGGACCCCAGTCCCCTCCCCACTGCGGGCTCCCCCTCAGAGGCTGAAGGGAACAGAGTGGGGCCTTAGGGGGCCGCACCCCTCCCAGCCTGCAGCTGGGGAGGGTGGGATGATGGCCCCTCTAACTCACATCCTCCTCCTTCAGGAGAGTTCAGCTCACCGTCCCTCGAAGCCCAGCCAAGCCCGGTGGTGGCCTCAGGGGGGAACGTGTCCCTCGTGTGTAGCTCACAGTCCACATCTGGCCCTTTCCACCTGCTGAAGGAGGGAGGGGCTGAGCCGCCCCGACACATGGCATCGCAATGGAGTTACTTACCCAGGGGGTGGCAGGCCGTCTTCCCTGTGGGCCCTGTGAGCGCCTCCCACGGGGGAACCTACAGATGCTACGTTTCTCGCAGCTCCTACCCCAATGTGTGGTCACATCCGAGTGACCCTCTGCGCATCGAGGTCACAGGTGAGGTGGCCCCCTTGGCTCCGTTCTTTCCTGGGCCCCAAATATCTCGTCTAAATCTTGTTCTAGTAAATCCCTAGGGATCGTGAGGGTCAGTGACGTGGGTTTATTGGGGACAGAAACACAGGCAGGTCTAGAGGGACACGTGAGGACTCTCCCTGCAGCCCCAGTGGAGGGGGGGATGGGTGTCCCCTGGCTGCCAATGGCCCTTCTCCCCAGGCGTGTACAGGTCGCCCTCCCTCCGGGCCCAGCCAGGCTCCCTGCTGCTGCCTGGGGACAGCCTGACCCTCCAGTGTCGCTCGGAGCCCGGCTTTGACAGATTCGCTCTGACCAAGGACGAGGGGCCCACACCCCCTCAGCGTCTCGATGGGCAGCGCAGCCCCGACTTCCCCCTGGGCCCTGTGACCCGCACCCACGGGGGCCGGTACAGGTGCTACAGCGGACACAGCCCCTCCTATGCGTGGTCGACCCCCAGCGCCCCCCTGGACGTGCTGATCGCGGGTGAGGAGCCCTGCCCTGTCCCCTGTCTTGACTGTCTGCTCAGGGTCAGACCGGGGTCACCGTGGAGGGTTGGGGCCCAGGAGAGGGTCCTGGAGCAGAGGCGATTGGGGGCTGAGGTCTAGGGAGGGAGAAAGGGGAGGGAGGGGCATGGCTATATCAGATGCCACCCAGAGGGACTGAGAGGAGCTGACAGGGGTCGCCGACAGCGTCCATGGGGAAGGACGTTGTCACTCACCTCAGGGCGCACGGCATTCGAGGCAGTGACCCTCTGCACAGCACCGCCCTCCCTCCCCAGGAGCGGACAGCAAACCCTCCCTGTCGGCCCGGCCGCCGCCCCCGGGGCCCTGGGGAGCCAACGTGACCCTGCTGTGTCGATCTGAGACCAGGGCTGACACCTTCCACCTGCACAGGGAGGGCTCCCTGGACCCTCCCCTGCAGCTTCGTCTGCAGGACATGGCTGCCCCCTCGGAGGCCACCTTCAACATCAGTCCTGTGACCTCGGCCCACAGTGGGACCTACAGGTGCTACAGCTCCCACAGCGCCTCCCCCTTCCTGCTCTCAAAGCCCAGTGACCCCCTGGAGATCCTGGTCCCAGGTGAGGAGCCTCTACCCCACCCATGACCCCATGGTCAGGTCAGGACCCTGTGCCCCCGGGGGACTTTGGTTTGGATCAGGAGTGAGCGGGTGAGAGAGGGAGGGTCAGCCTGTGGGACTCTCACCTCCCCGAGGGATGGAAAAGCCAGAGCCACCCCTCTCCTGCCTCAGCCTCATCCTCATCCCTGAGGCCCAGACAGCAGCCAGGTGCCCAGGGAGGCAGGGGAGGCCTCGGGCAGAGCCCAGGCAGGAAGGGCCAGAGGCGCCCATCCCCACCCCCTCCGTCTGCAGCGCCCAGGGCTCACGCAGAGACCAGGACCAGCGTGGTGACTAGCAGAGGCCTTGCTCCCAGGAAAAAACACGATCACCCGCCCTGGCTCACTAGTCTCCTAGGGTCGCTCGGGCCGGGCAGAGAAGCTGGGGAGATCATTGGGCCCCCAGGCCCTTGAGGCTGACAGGTGACAGGTGGGGCGGTCATGGCAGGGAGAGGTGCTGCGGTCCCTCCCAGGGGACAGGCAGCCAGGCTGAAGGAGGCAGAAGGCAGCCTCCACCCTTCTGGGACCCCCTGGGGCTCTTGGGTCAGGTGAGGGACTTCTATTCCATGTCCACTCAGGGAGCAGACCTGTCCCAGGACAGCTCTGGGCTGGGGTGGGAAGAAAGGGGAAGCAGGGAGGCCATCAGCACAGGGATTGCATCCCACACGAGATGGAGAAGGCAGGGTGTACCTCCCAGTCTCCATGCCGGACCACAACCTCTGACCTGTGCAGGAGGAGACTGAAGAGTGTGAAGGGCCAATATTGGAGGAAACACATGGGACTGTAGGGGACAAGGAGAGGCAGGCACAGCCCCACATCCTCCCCTGGTCCCTGTCTCATGCAGCACTTGGGGTCTGCAGACCCTCCCCACATGGACGAACTTCATGTCTGTTGGGCACCAGACTCCCCTGAACCTTAACGGGACACAGACTCCATCTGGCTGCTGCCTGTTTCTCAGGTTATGCTCCAACATAGCAAATCGTTCAAACGATTTGTTTCCTCAGGTGCTAGGGAAAAGGTGGAGACTTCAGGGAGGGGCCTCGCGTCTCAAGGAGCAGTGCGGTCCCGGTCTCGGGGCCTGTGTGGTCAGCGCAGAGCACGTGCTGGACGGGGGAGGCTGGGCCGCGCAGGTGGGAGAGGGAGCAGGCGCCTCTGTCCGTGGTGCTCCATCAGGGCCCTGCGTCCTCCTGGGCCCTGCGGAATCAGGCCCACGTGGGACATACACTCAGGGGAGCCCTCATTTCCGGGTCCAGGGGAGCGGGGGCCACTGGGAGTCTAAGCGGAACTGGAGCTGCCTCAGCCTCCTGAAGGTGAATCCTGGCGACAAAATCCTATCCGTGGGTAGGACATGGTTCTCTCCTCTAACAAACCAGAATCCGATCCAGGACTTGAACAAGTGCGATCAGCTGAGAACTCTGGGGCCGGTGAGTCCCTGTGGGAGAAGGAACAGGAGTCCACCCAGAGCTGGTTCCGTGTCCTCGGGGAGCCACTCTCGTGACGAGGGTGTGGAGAGGCGGCGGGATTCCCGCTCAGCTCCCATGAGCCCCGGGGGCGGCCGGGGCAGGGCGACCTGCAGAGCCGCCCCCATCAGAGCTCCTGTCAGCGCCCCTCCCCCCTCAGGGTGCCCAGGGGTTTCCCGGGATTTCCTGTCTCAACTGAGCACAGCCTATCTTACATCAATACATAGCGGTATTTTTGTCCATGTGTTTACTTCAACAGTTGATTCTCTTATTTATACTGGCTGCTTGTTTCTTAACAATCTCACTATCTAGGCTACACACTCGAGAAACAATTAGGTCTGTTCATTGCGGTGATCCTTCACCCCAGAATGACAGCAGAGTGTATTGTCTACCTTCCACCCTTTGTATTCTATAGAAGATATCGATATATAGAAGGAAAAAACGTGATGTGAAAATATATGATCCTAACTCAGAGACACAAAGAGCTGCCTCAGGGGGGGTCCCTGAGAGGTAGACCCCACCCTTCTCTCCTTCCTGCTCCTTCATCTCAAGAAAAACTAGGCCCAAAGGTCACCTTTGTATCCTTGTAGATACAGCCAAGATCCAACGATGCTCATCTCAAGGGAAGCGACGGGCATCACAGGTTACAGGGACTCCCTGCAGGTCGGGGAAGACACGACGTGGCATTGCCACGTCTCCTCTCCCGCAGCCTGCGTGTGACTGATTCTCAGGGGCAGCTGACACCTGGGACCATCACAGAATCAGTCAGACTCCAAGAGCAGAGAGGGAGGCGTAATTCTCAGTCACGGGGTGAAGGGCAGACGGTCAGGTCTACTCTATTGAACTCGGGTGACGTGGACAGACATCCAGGGAACCTGGGGCGACCGTGCATTACCCTGACCTCTGTGCCCTCTCTGTCCTCCACCTCCAGACTCAACCGCCCACGACTACACAGTGGGGAACGCCGTCCGGTTGGGTGTGTCTGGCCTGATCCTCCTGGTCCTCGGGGGGCTGCTGTTTGAGGCTTGGCACAGCCAGAGAAGACCCGCGACGCGGCCAGGAGGTGAGCAGAGGAGACAACAAACCCACCCTCCAGGAAGGCAGACGCTGGGAAAGAGTCTGATGATGCCCAGAAGCCCTGGAAGAAACCGTGGGAAGCGTGGGAAAGTGTGTGCAGAGGCCGTGGGGGCTGTGGGCGTGGCCCTCGCGCGGGGAGGGGGCGGGGCTGCGGCTGCGGAGGCTCTTCCACAGTTAAACTGCGGTCGCCTCCCTTCCCGCCTCTGCTGGGTTTTGGAGGTTTCCCCCCAAAAAAGCCCTCACTTGGGGCACTTGCCTGATTCCTGGGTGTCAATGCTTCTCGAGGGCGGGACAGCCGCCCACCCCCCTCCCCCGGAGCCCCCGTCATTCTCCCCACGCCCACCAGCCGCACTCAGTCCCGGCCGCGCACCCTGTCGGACCTGCCGGCGGCGCTGAGCTGACTGGGCTCCTTCGCCCCGAGGTGCTCAGGGCCGGCTCCGGGGGCGCACGGGGCGCGGTGGACGGACCGGCCCAGAGCAGCGGCTTCGCCGCCGGCCTGTGTGTGCGCAGCGCGTCTCTCCGGGGCCCGAAGCCACGGCCGCGCCCCACCCGCTGGTCGCCAGGGTCCTGACCGGCCTGGGTGGGGTCCGCGGAGTCCTGGGAAGGCGCTGTGACGGCCTCCCTGTCGCCATCCCCACGGTCCCTGTCCTCACGCACCTGGTCCCGGTCCTAGGCCTGCGCCGCCGTCCCCAAGAGCCACCTCTGCCCCTTCGGCGGCTGTGCTAAAGCCACCACTAGTCCGTGCCCCTCCTGTCGCCCTGCGAACGCACACAGGTGAGCGCCCTGTGCCTGCGACACGCCCGGCTGCCACAGATTGTTCGCCCCGGCGACCAGCTGCCCGCCACCACCGGCTGCACTCGGGGCTGAAGCGCTTCCCCTGCCCCCTCTGCTCCAAGCGCTCCGCCCGCAGCGACCACCTGTCCAAGCTCGCGCGCCGCCACCGCGGCTGCCACCGTAACTGCTCCGGAGCCCGAGGCGGAACATCTCACCCAGCGACTCGCTGCCCGCAGCCCGGCCGTAGCCCCGTGTAGCCTGCCCGGACCTCGCCCCGCCCAGAGCACCCGCAACCGGCTTCTTGTCCCCGCCCCCTTCCAGCCGTCCCCTGAGGGCCCCTCAGATGAGTCTCACCTCCGCCAGGGAGCAAGGAGGAGGCCTGAGGCTGGACTGCGGTCCTCGGAGCCTTGGAGATGGCCGTCCGGCATGGGTGGCTCGGACCCGTGTCTGGAAAAGCCATGAACTAGTTGTTTTTAACATAAAAAAACCCACAGAGTTTACCAACAACTAGACAGATGCATTGAAAGGTGTGGACAAGACAGACAGCTTGAGGACCCTGCCACCAGAGGGAGCCAGACGTACTAAGGCCATGCATCAGGACAAAGTCCATGAGCCCCAGAATAGGAGCAGGATCAACAGGAAGAATCTCTCGTTGGAAGGGCAGCAGGTCAAGCTTGAACGAGGGGACTGCTCCATCAAATACAAAAAGAAAACACACAACTCCAGAGAACACGAAGGATCAAACACTATGTCATCACCAAAGATCATAATAATGACCCAATACTGAACCAGAGACATGGAGAACTGCAATTTAGCCAATAGATAATTTGAAAGAAACTCCATGAAGTAAGACAAAAACTGGGAGATAGTTCGATAAAGTCGGGAAAACATGACTGGGACCAAAGAGCACATCCAACAGAGAGACCAGAAAATAAAGCTCATCACTTCCGGGGCTGAACAATTAAGTGAATGCAATGAACAATGATATCAGGGGCATCAACCAAAGACTGGACCAAGAGAAAAACACAAGAGGCCAATATGGTTGAATACAGATGCAAAATGCCTCAATGAATAGTAGCATGACAAATTCAAGAGCACATTAAAAGTCTTATACACCGTGAAAAAATGATGTTTCACCGAGGGTCGTGAAAACTGGCAAAATGATTTCCACAGGTGCAAATCAATAAACACTTGTTCCACAAAATAATGTAAATGATATAAAACATATGGTTGTGTGAATAGATGCAGACTCGGCATTGGAGAAACACAGCATTCTTTCGTAATACACACTGTCCACAAACTGGGGATGGAATGAACACGCCTCGACCAAGTAAGGGTCGCCGGTGGCAAGCCCAGAGTTACCATCATACTCAACAGTGGAAAGCGGGAGGTCTGGCGTCGGAGATCAGCCCCAGGCAGGGAGGTCCACTCTCACCCCTGCGATGCAACACGTGCTAACCGTCCGAGGCAGAGCAGTCAGGCAAGAAAAAGAAAGACAGGGCATCCAAACTGGGAAGAGAGAAACAAAACTGTCTGCAGATACTACAATCTTAAATAAAAAACCTCTAGAAAATACTCCACCAAAACATGGTTAGGACTAATGAACAAATTCAGTAAAATTGCAGCATACAAAATGACCGTACAGAACCCGGCTGCATTTCTGCCCACAAACCGTAACACATCAGAAAGAGAAATAAAGAAAATGATCCCATTTACAATAGGATCTGAACCAACAGACTATGAACCAAGGGGTGAAAGTTCGGGACATTGAAACCTCTGAGACTTTGGTAAAAGAAATTCAAAAGACACAAACAAATGGCAACATATCCCCTGCGCCCAGTTTGGAAGAATTCATTAGAATGCTTGTCCTGCCCAATCTACAAACTCAACACAATCCCTACCAAAATTGTCAAATGCATTTTTCACAGAAATACAAAGGCAATAATAGGTTTCAGTCAACATGGAGGCCTAGGGAGATACCCCCTCCCCACTGCACAACCGTAAGAAGGAACACAACTAACTTAAAAATGAAAAACACCCGCAAGTGCCAGAAAATCACCCCGAAGAAACCCAGAATGGTATCAGGTCTGACAACCAAGGATTTCATGGAGCTGTATTTATCCGGACGGATAGGAGGGGCAGAGACGGAGCCAGGGGGGCAGCCAGTGGACCTGGACCAAGGAGCCCCACATGCACGCGTGGTGGAGGCAAATCAGAGAGACCCCTTGTGAGCAGCCAGCCCAGCCCCAGGCCAGACCTCACAGCCCAGGATCCAGCCCCAGGGAAAAGGAAGCCTCCTAACTTCTGCCTGTGAGCCCAGTGGGGGCTGGGGCGGTGGAAGAAACTGCGGTTTTCTCAGCAGAGCCCAGAGCGTGCACAGCCCCACCCACAGCGGAACCGCCACCAGGACGGCACATGGAAGTGTGCCAGTCACAGGCGGGAAGTGGACAGAGCAGCCGGAAACCAGGCAGGGGCCAGGCAAGCCCCAGAAGTCAGCCAGCAGCGGCACCCTTCCCTCTCAGACGCCTCCCCCGCACACCCCGCCCCTGGGGCCCCACCCTGCAGAAGACCCACGGCTCCGCCCCATACGGCCTAACAGGGGGCGGGGGGCGGGGGGAGGGGGCTGAAATGGAACCGAGGCGGCTCTACCGAGGACACAGGCACAGAGAGGCTGCCCAAATCAGGAGACCAAGAAACACGGCCCAAGGGAAGGTACAAAACAGAACCCAGAAAAGAACTAAGCAATGCGGAGAGAACCAGCCCATCACACACACAGTTCAAAACCCCAGTGGTCAGGAGGCTCAGAGATCTCGCTGAATACGGCAGAAGCGTAAGGGAAGAAATGGAGGCACTACTAAGGGCAATAAAGAAAAACCCACAGGAAACCAACAGTGAAGGGAAGGAAGCTGGGATTCAGATCAATGATTTAAAACATAAGGAAGAGAGAAACATTCCACCAGAACAAAATGAAGAAACAAGAATTCAGAAAAAGTGAGGAGAGTTTCAGAAGACTCTGGGACCTCTCCAGAAGGGCCGGCATCCGAATCCTACGGATGCCAGATGGAAAACAGGAAGAGCAAGACATTGCTAACTTACTTGAAAGAAGATGGCAAGAAAAATTTCCTAATCTGGCAAAGGAAATGCATACAAGTCCAGGGGGCACAGAGAGTCCCAAACTAGTTGGACACAAGGAGGTCCACACCAAGACACATCACCATTAAAATGCCAAAGGTTAAAGATAAAGAGAGACTCTTAAAAGCAGCAAGAGAAAGACAGAGTTCAGAGAGTTACCTACAAAGGAGTTCCCATTAGACTGTCGGCTGATTTCTCCAAAGAAACTTTGCTGGCAAGAAGGGACTGGCCAGAAGTATACAAAGTGATGGAAAGCAAGGACCTTCAAGCTAGAGTCCTCTACCCAGCAAAGCTATCATTTAGGATGGAAGGGCAGACAGAGCGCTTCCCAGACGAGGGAAAGCTAAAGGAGTTCCTCATCACCTAGCCCTTATTACACGAAATGTTAAATCTGCTTATTTACGAAACAGAACACGATCACAAAATCTGAACAGTAAAATGACAACAAACTCACAACTATCAACAACTGAACCTAAAGCAAACGAAAACAAAAACTAACTTAGTAAACAAGTAGAGCAGGAAGAGAGTCCCAGAGATGGAGATCCCATGGGGGTTATCAGTGAGGGGGCGGGAGAGAGGGGGGGACAGTTCAGGGAATGGCACCATCGGCAGGTACAAAATAGACAGAGGGAGGTGACGAATAGTATCGGAAATGGAGAAATAGAGAACCTCCATGTACGACCCAAGGACATGCGCTACGGCAGGGGGTGCAGGGCAGAGGGGAATCAAAGGGACAAAAGGGGACCCCTGTAATGGCAGAATCCGTAAAACATACCTTTGAAAAATAAAAACTAAAATCGTTTAGAAAGACAAGGAAAGAAAACATGATCCCATTTGAGAACGTGACGCTCGGTTAAAGAACGTCACCACACAGATCACTTGGGCACTGGGTGATGGGTATTTAAATAAATATCTGTTGTATGTAAAAAGCAATCAATTCTAACTGAAATCAATGTCCCTTCCAGCATGAAGGCAGGACCGCAGCAAGTGGAGCCTTGGATCAGGGAACAAGGGGCACTGAGGGGGCAGGGACCCCTCAGAGGCTTGTTCCCAGAAACGTGGGGTGGGCACTGTTGCTAAGGAAAAAGGAGAAGTCCGTTTGGTGGCTGGGAGAGAAAAAAGCCACACTCTGGGGCCAGGGGAAGGGGCGTGTTTCCTTCCCCCACTCCCCTGGATGTGTCCTTTGTGCTCATGGTCACAGCGGCAGGCGCCTGGACGGCACAGTGAGAAGGAGACCGTGTCTCTGCCGCTCTGAGCTCTGCAGGCACAGGGACCCCGTCTTCCTGAGCGTGTCCAGGGCCTGGGTGACCCCTGTCCATGGGGAGGACCCACGGGGAGGTGCCGATGGATGGACTGAGGGTGAAGGGACACTGTCCGGGGGGCTGCGACCTGGGAGGACGTGCCCTGGGTCACCTCGCCGTCAAGGACCGTCTCAGGAAGCCTGGGCTCTCTTTCCTGGCCCGTCACAGGAACGAGAGCCGGACTCCCGGGCACACACTGTTCCCCTTCCTGAGGGGCTGCTGACGTGCGACACCATGACAGGACAGCCAGCCTCCCAGGGACCACACCCTACGTGTCTGTCCACCCGCAGGACGCCCTGGTCTCTTCCTCCTGCACAGCGGGCTTCAGAGAGGAGACCATGCCCCCCACGCTCACGGCCCTGCTCTGCCTCGGTGAGTGTCGGGGGGGAGGGGGAGCCCTGCTCTGTCAGGACCCAGGGCTCAGGACGCTCCCAGGGAGGGGGGCTCTGCTCAGGACTCAGGGCACATCCCTCACGGGGACTCTCTTGCAGGGCTGAGCGTGGGCCTGAGGACCCCGGTGCAGGCAGGTGAGTCTGTCCCCAGGGGTCCCAGGGCTTTCTCTGCACAAAGGACAGGGGTCACCCTCTCAGGAAGCTGGGGATGAAAAACAGACGTTCTGCCTTAATATACTTAGGCAGGGGACATACGACGGGAAAGTCTTGTGGCTGAGATCTGGGGACTGCAGGTGAGAATGTTTCCTGACCCAGCCTGTGATTCCTTCCAGGGACCCTCCCCAAACCCACCGTCTGGGCAGAGCCAGGCCCTGTGATCCCCTGGGGGAGCCCGGTGACCATCTGGTGTCAGGGGTCCCGGCAGGCCCAGGAGTTCCGACTGGATAAAGAGGGAACCTCATCGCCTTGGGCCACACAGAAGCCACTGGGTCCCAGGGACAAGGCCAAGTTCTCCTTCACACAGATGACAGAGAACACTACAGGGTTATATCGCTGCTACCATCGGAGCCCCAGGGGCTGGTCAGAGCGCAGTGACCCCCTGGAGCTGGTGGTGACAGGTGAGAGGACACTCCGGGGTCCCAGCCTCAGGCCCTGCCCTCAGGGAGGGGGATGTTCTCAGGGTGTCTCTACACACAGCCCAGCCCTGGGGGACAGGAGGGAGGTGTGAGCCCCATTTACCACGCTGCCTCCTTCTCTCCTAGGATTCTACAGCAAACCCAGCCTCTCAGCCCTGCCCAGCCCTGTCGTGACCTCCGGAGGGAACGTGACCTCCTTAGGGAACGTGACCCTCCAGTGCGGCTCCGGACTAGGTTTTCACAGGTTCATTCTGACTGAGGAGGCAGGAAGCAGGCCCCCCTGGACCCTGGACTCACAGCCTCACCCCAGCGGGCAGGTCCAGGCCCTGTTCCCCGCGGGGCCCATGACCCCGAGCCCCAGGAGGACGTTCAGGTGCTATGGCTGTTACAGGTACAGCCCCCAAGTGTGGTCACTGCCCAGTGACCCCCTGGAGCTCCCAGTCTCAGGTGAGACCCCTGACCCTGTCGTTTATGTGCTCTCGCAGCTCAGAGACCTGTCGCTTCGAAAGTTTAGGCAGAAAACTATGCGAGTGTGGGAAGTTCCACCGAGGGGACTCCTGCCCACGAGGAGTAGAGAGAGAAAGGATCCCCCACCCCTGAACCCCTTTCTCAGAACCTGGGCCGAGATGGAGAGCAGGGAGGGCAGCGGCAGAGGTGGGGAGAAGAGGAGAAACGCGGTTAGACTGAGCAGAGGACAGACCCCTCCCCCGCTCACCTGCTGCCTCTTCATCTCAGAGCCTGAGCCCCGCGGTCCCGGCCCCCTGGACCCTACCCCCGGGAAAGCAGGTAAGTTTTAGAAATTTACTGAAGTTTCACATGAGGAAATGAAGGAGTGAAATATTCCACAGCTTTACTTCTGAAAGAGAGTTTCATTAATACCCCAAATTATTTCAACGCAAAACCTTTAAAAGATCAACGTTTTATATCCCATGCACTATCGACCTCTATCTTTCAATATCTTTTTCTATTTCATTAGGGTTTCATTCGGAATGTTTTGTTTTGTTTTTTTTCACTGACAGATACACATCTTCTAAAAGTTATCTTTTCTCTCTGATTTATAACCACATGAAACACATCACAAAGGCTTCCTGGGTACATCGGTTTGGACACTGATGCAAATGAACCACACGTAGTGTCCACGTGCACTCTCTGAATTGTGGGAGCCGATGGAACTTTTGCAGGGACCTTTGGGATTAGGGCACGTCAATAGTTTTTGCACATGTTGTTTTCTATGGGGAAACAGAACGACACAATCTCCTGCTTCGGGTGCTCACAGAATCCGACCCTTTGGCGCAATTTCTCTCTTCCTTAAAGTTTGAAAACCACAAACGCGTGCTTCCTTGGGCAGCACCGTTGATAAGCAGTGCGTGGAGGTTGTGTTTCCGGGCAAAATATCACATGATTAGCTGTCCATCCACGAAATCCTGCCAGACGCTGCAGGCTTTGTGCAAACGGAGACAAAGACGGTGCCTGCCCCCCTGGGTGCCGGACCTGGCCTGCGACCCCATTTACCAAGCCCCCAAGCCCCGGTCCCCCTTCTCTTCTGCCCCCGCCCTACACCCCACAGATGAGACCCCTTTCCCTGCTGAACAGCAGACGAGACCCTTCCGGGGACCGGCCCCCTCCTCACTGGTTCATGTCAAGTCTCTCTCTCTCTGTCGCCCTTTACACACACACACACACACACACGCACACACACACACACAATATATATATATATATATAGGAACAGCCCAAATATATGTAGATACAGATGATGATATATAACTTAGCCAGTTCTGTACAGGCAGATATCTGTAACTATCTATTCAGAGTCATTTTATATACTATTTTATAATATACTCTATAAAGTGTACACACCCATGGTGGGACAAAAGTAAGTTTAAAGTTGTACACGAAATAATACAATTAATTTAATAACACAATAAATAACTGTGTTTCCTGAATGCACAACTGTCAACCTAGTGGTGTCCCGCCCTGTATTTAATATTGATATTGAACTTATGTATCTACAAAGAGTCATCCACATGCCCTTAGTTCTCATTCGGTGAGGACATCTGCCAAGGTAGGATTTGTTATATAAAAATGAATGAATAAAACAACAACTAGGTGGGAATCTCCAGGTGGAGATGAAACAGCAGTCCCCAGAGAGGAGGGGCCCGGGAGGCGTGGGGGAGGGGAGACGCACCCCAGACTTCACCCCTTGTGCACCTGACACTCAGGAGCCGCTGACCCACCCTCTCCTGCATGGACCGGGGTCCCCAGGTCGTGAAAACATGGGGTCTCTCAGTGGCAGGGCCAGAGGCTTCTGGGATCTGAGTCTCTTACTGAACACAGAACACACAGCTTTCAACTGTTTCTGAACTGAGATCATCTAATCACGGACCCTGAGCCCTTGGGCACAGCTCGCTCTTGTCACGGTGACTCAGAGCCGGCGCTGGACTCGGACACCCCAGGGACACGGACGTGAAGGGGAGGATGGGCCCAGGGGAGGCAGCAGAGTCCTCGAGACTGGGGGCTCCCTGACCACGGCGACCCCTGTCTCCACGTCCACAGACTCCCAGACCCAAGACTACACAGCGGGGAATCTCGTCCGCATGGGCGTGGCTGGCCTGCTGCTGCTGGTCCTCGGGGGGCTGCTGCTTCAGGCTCGAGACACCGAGGGGACGGCCCACGCTGCCGCCAGGATGTGACCACAGAGGGGACAGGACAGCGTTGAGGGCGGGAGCCAAGGAGCCCATCTGAGGACCCAGGAGGTGGTGAAGGAAGGTCTAGGCCACAGGTGGGGAACTGCCTGCTGAGAACGTGCAGAGGGAGCGGAGGTGTCCGACAAGGTTGGGGGCCGGACACAGGAGCCGTGTTCCTGCGGAGACGCCTCCTGCACCTCACTGCGGAGCCGTCCCTTCTCAACATCATCGACTCCTCTGGACGGTCCTTCGGTCCTCACCCCGCGATATGAGGGTCGCCAGACGAGGCTGGTTTCGATCCACATCCATACTGCCCTTCATGCTGGATCCCAATCATATAAACAACATGTGTTGTCCTCACGCCTTGGAGCACTTGAGCCACAAAGAACGAAGTGCTGACACCTGCTACCTGCCGGGTGAACGTCAACATTCCGGCAGAGAAACACAGAGCCCGACGGAAAAGATCAAGGTTTCTGTGGCTGTGTTTCTATGAGATGTCAAGAAGGACACGCCCAGAGACAGACGTCAGTATGGCCTGTCAGGGGCTGACGGGAGGAGAGACAGGAGACAGGGCCGCATGGTGTTTGGGGGCGGGGTCACGCAAACATCTTCTTGCACCAGATCAAACTGGTGACTGAGACATCGAGTATTTACAGTCCAGTGAATCCTGTATTACTAAAGGCTCCATTCTATGTTCCAAGAACTTATGCCATTAAACAGTAACGCAAACCCATCCCCATGGTTCCCTGTGGATCCTTTTCACCTTAGAAGTTGCCCCGCGTCCCCGTGCACTTTCATGGGACGCAGGACCCCCACCAGGTCCGAGATGCGCTCCGTGCCCTGTGCTCAGGGCTCAGCCCCTGGTGGGGTTCCCACCCTCACTCCTGAGAGGGGCTGAGACCAGGACACAGGACGAGCTGCCACGTTCCTGTCTCCTCTCAGTCGCGGCTCATGTGCCATTAGGCCAAGGACGCCCTAGAGCTTCTGATTCCCCCTCACGGCTTGGGGGACACAGATGTGGCTTCCCAGTGGCCCTTCCTGCCACACGTCTCTCATGCCCGCGTCTAAGTCAGGCCCCAGGAATGACTCCGATGGAGCCTCTTCGTGTCCCAGGATCTGCTGACCCTCCCGACAACCGTGAGGCTGAGCTTCCAGCCTTGTGTGCAATGAGGGGAAGGGAGAGGGGGGTGACTGGCTCACACAGACGGTCAATAAACGCTTCCCCGTGTCTTGGATTAAAACCTGCGAATAGTCTGCAACGAGGGCTTTTGCCCAGCACATGGCGGTGGACTGAGCAGGGTCAGAGGGCGGGTTATCCCCTCCCAGAGCAGGGCCCTGAGGAGGCAGACATGCCCCAGGGGCCTGGAACGGAGACCTGCAGAGAAGGTCTCCTGCCCACAGATGCAAGGGAGGCAGAGAGAGGAATCGCCAGGGACAGGCAGAACCACACGCCCGGCCAGGGGGGGCAGGTGGATCCGGCTGTGGGTGAGGTGACACTGCTGTAACCCTGGCCCCACGACGGCGGCCGTCCACGGGGCGGTCAGTCCTGGGACGGCCCCATTGGCTCCCCAGGCCACCCAGGCAGAGAGGGGAGGGGCCTCAGCTCTTCCCTCTCCTGCCCCCACACGATGAACACACCCCCACTCTGACCCGGAGCCCCCCTCTCTGCCAACCAGTCCCCTCCTCAGACTCGTGCACGTCAAGGCCCAGGACATCCTGTTGGCGGGACCCCGACAGCCTCCTCTCTGGCCCCCGGCAGACCCGCCCTCCCAGCTTAGGGGCTGGACTCTCACGCACCTGAACCTCCCTTTCCCGGACCCGCCCCGCACAAAGCCTCCCCCCAGGTCCCCAGCGGCTCCAGCAACACCCAGGCAGCTCCGCCTGACGGTCCCTGGGGCTGCAGATCGGGCTCAGCTACACCCTCCATCCCAAGCGGAGCCAACGCCTCCCTGCCCACCAGGCCCTTCCCATGCCCACCTCCCTGCCAGACTCACACCTGGGTCAGACCACACTGGGCTTCTCGTGGGAGCCACCTGAGCTGCCCCGCTCAGCGCTGACCCCGCACGCCTCCTAGACCAACATAATGACAAGACACACTCCTGCTTCATCTCACTCCGTGTGAAATAATTCACTGTTCGGGGATTTCCGTTCCATCTCTTGAGAAATGCGCAGAAACCTCTAAGGTTGCTGATCGGCTCCTCACTTTGGTGTCCGATGAGCGTGGCGGTTTTCTCGGAGGTTATCGTCCACGCCTCACTGCTACGCCTGTGCCCACAGAGCGGCGTCTTCTCAAAGCAGCGATCGGCTCACACGTTCCTTCACTGCAAAGGTTTCCACTACCTTTAGGGTCTCACAGAGGAGCCCCCCCAGGGAGCGGAGGCCCCGGGGGACCAGGGCACAGCACACCCTGGTGACTCCCAGCTCTTAGAATCACCCCACTCTTCCAGCCCATTCCTCTCAGCCCCGTGCTGACCCCTCGGCGTCCGGCTCCCTCCCTCCCCTGCAGGCCGCCTCTCTCCGGGACATCCACCTGCTATGGAGTCTCTCTGGGCTCCGTTTTTCTCCTTCTCTGAGAGTTACCTTCTCTGAGAGTTACCGTAACAACACACACAGCCTCCGGTGCCTAAAGAATTGTGTTGCCTGAGGTCACCGGTCAGCACGGCATGTGCCCAGGGGAGGATTCGGTCAGCTTCCCCAATCCTCCGCCCGTCTGGACAGAGCACTTGCTCGGTAATCATCGGTTGGTTGCCGGATGGAGAGAGGCCGGAAGGACCTTTGCATTTGCATCGTCTCAGGAAAAGGAAGTGAATTGCCCATGGTGACGCGGGTTCCAGAAACGGCAGAGTCAGAGCTGGAACAGAGACTGGGTGCTCCTGAGTCCTGCCCGGCGTCCTCTCCCTCTCGGTCCGGGGCAGGCGTCGCCCTCTGGATTTGGGAGGCACATGAGGCGCAGGCAGAGCGTGTGGGGTCTGCTGAGACTCAGACGCCGCCCCCAAGGTCCCAGAGTCTGATGACTCCCCCACCTCCTTCAGGAGAGCAGACTGCAGCCGAGGAGGACACTGTGAGTCGACACAGGAGCCGCACCCTTGTTGTACCCTGCGTCTGTCTGTGCGGCTGGGCACCTGGACATCGGAGGTCACCTGCTCCGCCGGGAACCCTGGGAGACAGCGTCATGACCCTGACCTTCATTGCTCTGCTCTCTCTCGGTGAGATTTGGGGAAAAGGGAAGGATGGGTCCCCTCCCCTCCCTGGCCCAGCCTCGGGGGGCGCAGTGGAGGCAGAAATTCCATGGGGAAAAGATATTGGCTCAGGCCCAGGTCGGACCCCAGCGCTCGGGGCCCTGACCCGGTTGGAGCCTCTGCGTGTGGGTTGAAGGACGATCTCACGGGGACTCCATTCCAGGGCTGTGTGGGGGCCCCTGGGACCAGGTCCGGGCAGGTGAGTCCTCCCCCTGACCTCCTGCTTCAGCACAATGACCCCTGGGCCGCTGGGGACACACAGTGGGTCTGCAACGATGGTGACCAGTCTGGGAGGGGCCTGGGAGTGACAGCTGGGGGAAGTGCGGGGAGAAGGGCACCCCCTGACACCGCACGTCTGAACCCTTTTCAGAGGCCCTCCCCAGACCCTCCCTCTGGGCTGACCCGGGCCCCGTGGTCAGCAAGGGCAGCCCTGTGACCCTCTGGTGTCAGGGGTCTCTGCGGGCTGATGCCTACTATCTGTATAAAGAGAGGGGCTCTGAGCCCTGGCGTACGAGGATCCCACAGGCCTCCACCAACAAGACCGAGTTCCGCATTCCATCCACGAGCTCACACGATGCAGCGCCATACGAGTGTGTCTACAGGGCTGGGCACACCCTGTCTGAGCGCAGCGAGCCCCTCGTCCTGGTGGTGACGGGTAAGGAGGACCCCGGTCCTCTCCCCACTGCGGGCTCCCCTCGGAGGCTGAAGGGAACAGAGTGGGGCTTTAGGGGGGCCGCACCCCTCCCAGCCTGCAGCTGGGGAGGGTGGGATGATGGCCCCTCTAACTCACATCCTCCTCCTTCAGGAGAGTTCAGCTCACCGTCCCTCGAAGCCCAGCCAAGCCCGGTGGTGGCCTCAGGGGGGAACGTGTCCCTCGTGTGTAGCTCACAGTCCACATCTGGCCCTTTCCACCTGCTGAAGGAGGGAGGGGCTGAGCCGCCCCGACACATGGCATCGCAATGGAGTTACTCACCCAGGGGGTGGCAGGCCATCTTCCCTGTGGGCCCCGTGAGCGCCTCCCACGGGGGAACCTACAGATGCTACGTTTCTCGCAGCTCCTACCCCAATGTGTGGTCACATCCGAGTGACCCTCTGCGCATCGAGGTCACAGGTGAGGTGGCCCCCTTGGCTCCATTCTTTCCTGTGCCCCAAATATCTCATCTAAATCTTGTTCTAGTAAATCCCTAGGGATCGTAGGGTCAGTGACGTGGGTTTATTGGGGACAGAACCACAAACAGGAGGCTTAGAGGGGGACACGTGAGGACTCTCCCTGCAGCCCCAGTGGAGGGGGGATGGGTGTCCCCTGGCTGCCAATGGCCCTTCTCCCCAGGCCTGTACAGGTCGCCCTCCCTCCGGGCCCAGCCAGGCTCCCTGCTGCTGCCTGGGGACAGCCTGACCCTCCAGTGTCGCTCGGAGCCCGGCTTTGACAGATTCGCTCTGACCAAGGACGAGGGGCCCACACCCCCTCAGCGTCTCGATGGGCAGCGCAGCCCCGACTTCCCCCTGGGCCCTGTGACCCGCACCCACGGGGGCCGGTACAGGTGCTACAGTGGACACAGCCCCTCCCATGCGTGGTCGACCCCCAGCGCCCCTCTCGACGTCCTGATCGCGGGTGAGGAGCCCTGCCCTGTCCCCTGTCCTGACTGTCTGCTCAGGGTCAGACCGGGGTCACCGTGGAGGTGTTGGGGCCCAGGAGAGGGTCCTGGAGCAGAGGCGATTGGGGGCTGAGGTCTAGGGAGGGAGAAAGGGGAGGGAGGGGCATGGCTATATCAGATGCCACCCAGAGGGACTGAGAGGAGCTGACAGGGGTCGCCGACAGCGTCCATGGGGAAGGACGTTGTCACTCACCTCAGGGCGCACGGCATTCGAGGCAGTGACCCTCTGCACAGCACCGCCCTCCCTCCCCAGGAGCGGACAGCAAACCCTCCCTGTCGGCCCGGCCGCCGCCCCCGGGGCCCTGGGGAGCCAACGTGACCCTGCTGTGTCGATCGGAGACCAGGGCTGACACCTTCCACCTGCACAGGGAGGGCTCCCTGGACCCTCCCCTGCAGCTTCGTCTGCAGGACACGGCTGCCCCCTCGGAGGCCACCTTCAACATCAGTCCTGTGACCTCGGGCCACAGTGGGACCTACAGGTGCTACAGCTCCCACAGCGCCTCCCCCTTCCTGCTCTCACATCCCAGTGACCCCCTGGAGCTCCTGGTCCCAGGTGAGGAGCCTCTACCCCACCCATGTCCCCATGGTCAGGTCAGGACCCTGTTCCCCCGGGGGACTTTGGTTTGGATCAGGAGTGAGCGGGTGAGAGAGGGAGGGTCAGCCTGTGGGACTCTCACCTCCCCGAGGGATGGAAAAGCCAGAGCCACCCCTCTCCTGCCTCAGCCTCATCCTCATCCCTGAGGCCCAGACAGCAGCCAGGTGCCCAGGGAGGCAGGGGGAGGCCTCGGGCAGAGCCCAGGCAGGAAGGGCCAGAGGCGCCCATCCCCACCCCCTCCTTCTGCAGCGCCCAGGGCTCACGCAGAGACCAGGACCAGCGTGGTGACTAGCAGAGGCCTTGCTCCCAGGAAAAAACACGATCACCCGCCCTGGCTCACTAGTCTCCTAGGGTCGCTCGGGCCGGGCAGAGAAGCTGGGGGAGATCATTGGGCCCCCAGGCCCTTGAGGCTGACAGGTGACAGGTGGGGCGGTCATGGCAGGGAGAGGTGCTGCGGTCCCTCCCAGGGGACAGGCAGCCAGGCTGAAGGAGGCAGAAGGCAGCCTCCACCCTTCTGGGACCCCCTGGGGCTCTTGGGTCAGGTGAGGGACTTCTATTCCATGTCCACTCAGGGAGCAGACCTGTCCCAGGACAGCTCTGGGCTGGGGTGGGAAGAAAGGGGAAGCAGGGAGGCCATCAGCACAGGGATTGCATCCCACACGAGATGGAGAAGGCAGGGTGTACCTCCCAGTCTCCATGCCGGACCACAACCTCTGACCTGTGCAGGAGGAGACTGAAGAGTGTGAAGGGCCAATATTGGAGGAAACACATGGGACTGTAGGGGACAAGGAGAGGCAGGCACAGCCCCACATCCTCCCCTGGTCCCTGTCTCATGCAGCACTTGGGGTCTGCAGACCCTCCCCACATGGACGAACTTCATGTCTGTTGGGCACCAGACTCCCCTGAACCTTAACGGGACACAGACTCCATCTGGCTGCTGCCTGTTTCTCAGGTTATGCTCCAACATAGCAAATCGTTCAAACGATTTGTTTCCTCAGGTGCTAGGGAAAAGGTGGAGACTTCAGGGAGGGGCCTCGCGTCTCAAGGAGCAGTGCGGTCCCGGTCTCGGGGCCTGTGTGGTCAGCGCAGAGCACGTGCTGGACGGGGGAGGCTGGGCCGCGCAGGTGGGAGAGGGAGCAGGCGCCTCTGTCCGTGGTGCTCCATCAGGGCCCTGCGTCCTCCTGGGCCCTGCGGAATCAGGCCCACGTGGGACATACACTCAGGGGAGCCCTCATTTCCGGGTCCAGGGGAGCGGGGGCCACTGGGAGTCTAAGCGGAACTGGAGCTGCCTCAGCCTCCTGAAGGTGAATCCTGGCGACAAAATCCTATCCGTGGGTAGGACATGGTTCTCTCCTCTAACAAAGCAGAATCCGATCCAGGACTTGAACAAGTGCGATCAGCTGAGAACTCTGGGGCCGGTGAGTCCCTGTGGGAGAAGGAACAGGAGTCCACCCAGAGCTGGTTCCGTGTCCACGGGGAGCCACTCTCGTGACGAGGGTGTGGAGAGGCGGCGGGATTCCCGCTCAGCTCCCCTGAGCCCCGGGGGGCGGCCGGGGCAGGGCGACCTGCAGAGCCGCCCCCATCAGAGCTCCTGTCAGCGCCCCTCCCCCCTCAGGGTGCCCAGGGGTTTCCCGGGATTTCCTGTCTCAACTGAGCACAGCCTATCTTACATCAATACATAGCTGTATTTTTGTCCATGTGTTTACTTCAACAGTTGATTCTCTTATTTATACTGGCTGCTTGTTTCTTAACAATCTCACTATCTAGGCTACACACTCGAGAAACAATTAGGTCTGTTCATTGCGGTGATCCTTCACCCCAGAATGACAGCAGAGTGTATTGTCTAGCTTCCACCCTTTGTATTCTATAGAAGACATCGATATATAGAAGGAAAAAACGTGATGTGAAAATATATGATCCTAACTCAGAGACACAAAGAGCTGCCTCAGGGGGGACCCTGAGAGGTAGACCCCACCCTTCTCTCCTTCCTGCTCCTTCATCTCAAGAAAAGCTAGGCCCAAAGGTCACCTTTGTATCCTTGTTAGATGCAGCCAAGATGCCAACGATGCTCATCTCAGGGGAAGCGACGCGCATCACAGGTTACAGGGAATCCCTGCAGGTCGGGGAAGACACGACGTGGCATTGCCACGTCTCCTCTCCCACAGCCTGCGTGTGACTGATTCTCAGGGGCAGCTGACACCTGGGACCATCACAGAATCAGTCGGACTCCAAGAGCGGAGAGGGAGGCGTAATTCTCAGTCACGGGGCGAAGGGCAAACCGTCAGGTCTACTCTATTGAACTCGGGTGACGTGGACAGACATCCAGGGAACCTGGGGCGATTGTGCGTTACCCTGACCTCTCTGCCCTCTCTGTCCTCCACCTCCAGACTCAACCGCCCACGACTACACAGTGGGGAACGCCGTCCGGTTGGGTGTGTCTGGCCTGATCCTCCTGGTCCTCGGGGGGCTGCTGTTTGAGGCTTGGCACAGCCAGAGAAGACCCCGCGACGCGGCCAGGAGGTGAGCACAGGAGACAACAAACCCACCCTCCAGGAAGGCAGACGCTGGGAAAGAGTCTGATGATGCCCAGAAGCCCTGGAAGAAACCGTGGGAAGCGTGGGAAAGTGTGTGCAGAGGCCGTGGGGGCTGTGGGCGTGGCCCTCGCGCGGGGAGGCGGCGGGGCTGCGGCTGCGGAGGCTCTTCCGCAGTTAAACTGCGGTCGCCTCCCTTCCCGCCTCTGCTGGGTTTTGGAGGTTTCCCCCCAAAAAAGCCCTCACTTGTGGCACTTGCCTGATTCCTGGGTGTCAATGCTTCTCGAGGGCGGGACAGCCGCCCACCACCCTCCCCCGGAGCCCCCGTCATTCTCCCCACGCCCACCAGCCGCACTCAGTCCCGGCCGCGCACCCTGTCGGACCTGCCGGCGGCGCTGAGCTGACTGGGCTCCTTCGCCCCGAGGTGCTCAGGGCCGGCTCCGGGGGCGCACGGGGCGCTGTGGACGGACCGGCCCAGAGCAGCGGCTTCGCCGCCGGCCTGTGTGTGCGCAGCGCGTCTCTCCGGGGCCCGAAGCCACGGCCGCGCCCCACCCGCTGGTCGCCAGGGTCCTGACCGGCCTGGGTGGGGCGCGCGGAGTCCTGGGAAGGCGCTGTGACGGCCTCCCTGTCGCCATCCGCGCGGTCCCTGTCCTCACGCACCTGGTCCCGGTCCTAGGCCTGCGCCGCCGTCCCCAAGAGCCACCTCTGCCCCTTCGGCGGCTGTGCTAAAGCCACCACTAGTCCGTGCCCCTCCTGTCGCCCTGCGAACGCACACAGGTGAGCGCCCTGTGCCTGCGCCACGCCCGGCTGCCACAGATTGTTCGCGCCGGCGACCAGCTGCCCGCCACCACCGGCTGCACTCGGGGCTGAAGCGCTTCCCCTGCCCCCTCTGCTCCAAGCGCTCCGCCCGCAGCGACCACCTGTCCAAGCTCGCGCGCCGCCACCGCGGCTGCCACCGTAACTGCTCCGGAGCCCGAGGCGGAACATCTCACCCAGCGACTCGCTGCCCGCTGCCCGCAGCCCGGCCGTAGCCCCGTGTAGCCCGCCCGGACCTCGCCCCGCCCAGAGCACCCGCAACCGGCTTCTTGTCCCCGCCCCCTTCCAGCCGTCCCCTGAGGGCCCCTCAGATGAGTCTCACCTCCGCAAGGGAGCAAGGAGGAGGCCTGAGGCTGGACTGCGGTCCGCGGAGCCTTGGCGATGGCCGTCCGGCATGGGTGGCTCGGACCCGTGTCTGGAAAAGCCATGAACTAGTTGTTTTTAACATAAAAAAACCCACAGAGTTTACCAACAACTAGACAGATGCATTGAAAGGTGAGGACAAGACAGACAACTTGAGGACCCTGCCACCAGAGGGAGCCAGACGTACTAAGGCCACGCATCAGGACAAAGTCCATGAGCCCCAGAATAGGAGCAGGATCAACAGGAAGAATCTCTCGTTGGAAGGGCAGCAGGTCAAGCTTGAACGAGGGGACTGCTCCATCAAATACAAAAAAAAAAAAAAAAAGAAAAGAAAGAAAGAAAGAAAAAACCCACACAGCTCCAGAGAACACGAAGGATCAAACACTATGTCATCACCAAAGATCATAATAATGACCCAATACTGAACCAGAGACATGGAGAACTGCATTTGGCCAATAGATAATTTCAAAGAAACTCCATGAAGTAAAGACAAAAACTGGGAGACAATTCGATAAGTCGGGAAAACATGACTGGGACCAAAGAGCACATCCAACAGAGAGACCAGAAAATAAAGCTCATCACTTCCGGGGCTGAACAATTAAGTGAATCCAATGAACAATGATATCAGGGGCATCAACCAAAGACTGGACCAAGAGAAAAACACAAGAGGCCAATATGGTTGAATACAGATGCAAAATGCCTCAATGAACAGTAGCATGACAAATTCAAGAGCACATTAAAAGTCTTATACACCGTGAAAAAATGATGTTTCACCGAGGGTCGTGAAAACTGGCAAAATGATTTCCACAGGTGCAAATCAATAAACACTTGTTCCACAAAATAATGTAAATGATATAAAACATATGGTTGTGTGAATAGATGCAGACTCGGCATTGGAGAAACACAGCATTCTTTCGTAATACACACTGTCCACAAACTGGGGATGGAATGAACACGCCTCGACCAAGTAAGGGTCGCCGGTGGCAAGCCCAGAGTTACCAACATACTCAACAGTGGAAAGCGGGAGGTCTGGCGTCTGAGATCAGCACCAGGCAGGGAGGTCCACTCTCACCCCTGCGATGCAACACGTGCTAACCGTCCGAGGCAGAGCAGTCAGGCAAGAAAAAGAAAGACAGGGCATCCAAACGGGGAAGAGAGAAACAAAACTGCCTGCAGATAATACAATCTTATATATAAAAACCTCTAAAAAATACGCCACCAAAACATGGTTAGGACTAATGAACAAATTCAGTAAAACTGCAGCATACAAAATGACCATACAGAACCCGGCTGCATTTCTGCCCACAAACCATAACACATCAGAAAAAGAAATAAAGAAAATGATCCCATTTACAATAGGATCTGAACCAACAGATTATGAACCAAAGGGTGAAAGTTCGGGACATTGAAACCTCTGAGACTTTGGTAAAAGAAATTCAAAAGACACAAACAAATGGCAACATATCCCCTGCGCCCAGTTTGGAAGAATTCATTAGAATGCTTGTCCTGCCCAATCTACAAACTCAACACAATCCCTATCAAAATTGTCAAATGCATTTTTCACAGAAATACAAAGGCAATAATAGGTTTCAGTCAACATGGAGGCCTAGGGAGATACCCCCTCCCCACTGCACAACCGTAAGAAGGAACACAACTAACTTAAAAATGAAAAACACCCACAAGTGCCAGAAAACCACCCCGAAGAAACCCAGAATGGTATCAGGTCTGACAACCAAGGATTTCATGGAGCTGTATTTATCCGGACGGATAGGAGGGGCAGAGACGGAGCCAGGGGGGCAGCCAGTGGACCTGGACCAAGGAGCCCCACATGCACGCGTGGTGGAGGCAAATCAGAGAGACCCCTTGTGAGCAGCCAGCCCAGCCCCAGGCCAGACCTCACAGCCCAGGATCCAGCGCCAGGGAAAAGGAAGCCTCCTAACTTCTGCCTGTGGGCCCAGTGGGGGCTGGGGCGGTGGAAGAAACTGCGGCTTTCTCAGCAGAGCCCCGAGCGTGCACAGCCCCACCCACAGCGGAACCACCACCAGGACGGCAGATGGAAGTGTGCCAGTCACAGGCGGGAAGTGGACAGAGCGGCCCGAAACCAGGCAGGGGCCAGGCAAGCCCCAGAAGTCAGCCAGCAGCGGCACCCTTCCCTCTTAGACGCCTCCCCCGCACACCCCGCCCCTGGGGCCCCACCCTGCAGAAGACCCACGGCTCCGCCCCATACGGCCTCATGGGGGCGGGGGGGGGGGGGGCCTGAAATGGAACCGAGGCGGCTCTACCTAGGACACAGGCACAGAGAGGCTGCCCAAATCAGGAGACCAACAAACACGGCCCAAGGGAAGGTACAAAACAGAACCCAGAAAAGAACCAAGCAATGAGGAGAGACCCAGCCCATCACACACACAGTTCAAAACCCCGGTGGTCAGGAGGCTCAAAGATCTCGCTGAATACGGCAGAAGCCTAAGGGAAGAAATGAAGGCACTACTAAGGGCAATAAAGAAAAACCCACAGGAAACCAACAGCGAAGGGAAGGAAGCTGGGATTCAGATCAATGATTTAACGCATAAGGAAGAGAGAAACATTCCACCAGAACAAAATGAAGAAACAAGAATTCAGAAAAAGTGAGGAGAGTTTCAGAAGACTCTGGGACCTCTCCAGAAGGGCCGGCATCCGAATCCTACGGACTCCAGATGGAAAACAGGAAGAGCAAGACACTGCAAACGTACTTGAAAGAAGATGGCAAGAAAAATTTCCTAATGTGGCAAAGGAAATGCATACAAGTCCAGGGGGCACAGAGAGTCCCAAACTAGTTGGACGCAAAGAGGTCCACACCAAGACACATCATCATTAAAATGCCAAAGGTTAAAGATAAAGAGAGACTCTTAAAAGCAGCAAGAAAAAGACAGACTTGAGAGAGTTACGTACAAAGGAGTTCCATTAGACTGTCCGCTGATTTCTCCAAAGAAACTTTGCTGGCAAGAAGGGACTGGCCAGAAGTATACAAAGTGATGGAAAGCAAGGACCTTCAAGCTAGAGTCCTCTACCCAGCAAAGCTATCATTTAGGATGGAAGGGCAGACAGAGCGCTTCCCAGACGAGGGAAAGCTAAAGGAGTTCCTCATCACCTAGCCCTTATTACATGAAATGTTAAATCTGCTTATTTACGAAACAGAACACGATCACAAAATATGAACAGTAAAATGACAACAAACTCACAACTATCAACAACTGAACCTAAAGCAAACGAAAACAAAAACTAACTTAGTAAACAAGTAGAGCAGGAAGAGAGTCCCAGAGATGGAGATCCCATGGGGGTTATCAGTGAGGGGGCGGGAGAGAGGGGGGGAAAGTTCAGGGAATGGCACCATCGGCAGGTACAAAATAGACAGAGGGAGGTGACGAATAGTATCGGAAATGGAGAAATAGAGAACCTCCAGGTACGACCCAAGGACATGCGCTACGGCAGGGGGTGCACGGCAGAGGGGAATCAAAGGGACAAAGGGGACCCCTGTAATGGCAGAATCCGTAAAACATACCTTTGAAAAATAAAAACTAAAATCGTTTAGAAAGACAAGGAAAGAAAACATGATCCCATTTGAGAACGTGACGCTCGGTTAAAGAACGTCACCACACAGATCACTTGGGCACTGGGTGATGGGTATTTAAATAAATATCTGTTGTATGTAAAAAGCAATCAATTCTAACTGAAATCAATGTCCCTTCCAGCATGAAGGCAGGACCGCAGCAAGTGGAGCCTTGAATCAGGGAACAAGGGGCACTGAGGGGGCAGGGACCCCTCAGAGGCTTGTTCCCAGAAACGTGGGGTGGGCACTGTTGCTAAGGAAAAAGGAGAAGTCCGTTTGGTGGCTGGGAGGGAAAAAAGCCACACTCGGGGGCCAGGGTGAAGGGGCGTGTTTCCTTCCCCCACTCCCCTGGATGTGTCCTTTGTGCTCATGGTCACAGCGGCAGGCGCCTGGACGGCACAGTGAGAAGGAGACCGTGTCTCTGCCGCTCTGAGCTCTGCAGGCACAGGGACCCCGTCTTCCTGAGCGTCTCCAGGGCCTGGGTGACCCCTGTCCATGGGGAGGACCCACGGGGAGGTGCCGAAGGATGGACTGAGGGTGAAGGGACACTGTCCGGGGGGCTGCGACCTGGGAGGACGTGCCCTGGGTCACCTCGCCGTCAAGGACCGTCTCAGGAAGCCTGGGCTCTCTTTCCTGGCCCGTCACAGGAACGAGAGCCGGACTCCCGGGCACACACTGTTCCCCTTCCTGAGGGGCTGCTGACGTGCGACACCATGACAGGACAGCCAGCCTCCCAGGGACCACACCCTACGTGTCTGTCCACCCGCAGGACGCCCTGGTCTCTTCCTCCTGCACAGCGGGCTTCAGAGAGGAGACCATGCCCCCCACGCTCACGGCCCTGCTCTGCCTCGGTGAGTGTCGGGGGGAGGGGGGAGCCCTGCTCTGTCAGGACCCAGGGCTCAGGACGCTCCCGGGGAGGGGGGGCTCTGCTCAGGACTCAGGGCACATCCCTCACGGGGACTCTCTTGCAGGGCTGAGCGTGGGCCTGAGGACCCCGGTGCAGGCAGGTGAGTCTGTCCCCAGGGGTCCCAGGGCTTTCTCTGCACAAAGGACAGGGGTCACCCTCTCAGGAAGCTGGGGATGAAAAACAGACGTTCTGCCTTAATATACTTAGGCAGGGGACATACGACGGGAAAGTCTTGGGGCTGAGATCTGGGGACTGCAGGTGAGAATGTTTCCTGACCCAGCCTGTGATTCCTTCCAGGGACCCTCCCCAAACCCACCCTCTGGGCGGAGCCAGGCCCTGTGATCCCCTGGGGGAGCCCGGTGACCATCTGGTGTCAGGGGTCCCGGCAGGCCCAGGAGTTCCGACTGGATAAAGAGGGAACCTCATCGCCTTGGGCCACACAGAAGCCACTGGGTCCCAGGGACAAGGCCAAGTTCTCCTTCACACAGATGACAGAGAACACTACAGGGTTATATCGCTGCTACCATCGGAGCCCCAGGGGCTGGTCAGAGCGCAGTGACCCCCTGGAGCTGGTGGTGACAGGTGAGAGGACACTCCGGGGTCCCAGCCTCAGGCCGTGCCCTCAGGGAGGGGGATGTTCTCAGGGTGTCTCTACACACAGCCCAGCCCTGGGGGACAGGAGGGAGGTGTGAGCCCCATTTACCACGCTGCCTCCTTCTCTCCTAGGATACTACAGCAAACCCAGCCTCTCAGCCCTGCCCAGCCCTGTCGTGACCTCCGGAGGGAACGTGACCTCCGGAGGGAACGTGACCCTCCAGTGCGGCTCCGGACTAGGTTTTCACAGGTTCATTCTGCCTGAGGAGGCAGGAAGCAGGCCCCCCTGGACCCTGGACTCGCAGCCTCACCCCAGCGGGCAGGTCCAGGCCCCGTTCCCCGCGGGGCCCATGACCCCGAGCCCCAGGAGGACGTTCAGGTGCTATGGCTGTTACAAGTACAGCCCCCAAGTGTGGTCACTGCCCAGTGACCCCCTGGAGCTCCCGGTCTCAGGTGAGACCCCTGACCCTGTCGTTTATGTGCTCTCGCAGCGCAGAGACCTGTCCCTTCGAAAGTTAGGGCAGAAAACTATGCGAGTGTGGGAAGTTCCACCGAGGGGACTCCTGCCCACGAGGAGTAGAGAGAGAAGGGATCCCCCACCCCTGAACCCCTTTCTCAGAACCTGGGCCGAGAGGGAGAGCAGGGAGGGCGGCGGCAGAGGTGGGGAGAAGAGGAGAAACGCGGTTAGACTGAGCAGAGGACAGACCCCTCCCCCGCTCACCTGCTGCCTCTTCATCTCAGAGCCTGAGCCCCGCGGTCCCGGCCCCCTGGACCCTACCCCCGGGAAAGCAGGTAAGTTTTAGAAATTTACTGAAGTTTCACATGAGGAAATGAAGGAGTGAAATATTCCACAGCTTTACCCACTGAAAGACAGTTTCATTAATACCCCAAATTATTTCAACGCAAAACCTTTAAAAGATCTACGTTTTATATCCCATGCACTATCGACCTCTATCTTTCAATATCTTTTTCTATTTCATTAGGGTTTCATTCGGAATGTTTTGTTTTGTTTTTTTTCACTGACAGATACACATCTTCTAAAAGTTATCTTTTCTCTCTGATTTATAACCACATGAAACACATCACAAAGGCTTCCTGGGTTCATCGGTTTGGACACTGATGCAAATGAACCACACGTAGTGTCCACGTGCACTCTCTGAATTGTGGGAGCCGATGGAATTTTTGCAGGGACCTTTGGGATTAGGGCACGTCAATAGTTTTTGCACATGTTGTTTTCTATGGGGAAACAGAATGACACAATCTCCTGCTTCGGGTGCTCACAGAATCCGACCCTTTGGCGCAATTTCTCTCTTCCTTAAAGTTTGAAAACCACAAACGCGTGCTTCCTTGGGCAGCACCGTTGATAAGCAGTGCGTGGAGGTTGTGTTTCGGGGCAAAATATCACATGATTAGCTGTCCATCCACGATATCCTGCCAGACGCTGCAGGCTTTGTGCAAACGGAGACAAAGACGGTGCCTGCCCCTCCTGGGTGCCGGACCTGGCCTGCGACCCCATTTACCAAGCCCCCAAGCCCCGGTCCCCCTTCTCTTCTGCCCCCGCCCTACACCCCACAGATGAGACCCCTTTCCCTGCTGAACACCAGACGAGACCCTTCCGGGGACCGGCCCCCTCCTCACTGGCTCATGTCAAGTCTCTCTCTCTCTGCCGCCCTTTACACACACACACACACACACACACACACACACACACACACACACACACACATATATATATAGGAACAGCCCAAATATATGTAGATACAGATGATGATATATAACTTAGCCAGTTCTGTACAGGCAGATATCTGTAACTATCTATACAGAGTCATTTTATATACTATTTTATAATATACTCTATAAAGTGTACACACCCGTGGTGGGACAAAAGTAAGTTTAAAGTTGTACAAGAAATAATAATAACACTAAATAACTGTGTTTCTTGAATGCACAACTCTCAACCTAGTGGTGTCCCGCCCTGTATTTAATATTGATATTGAACTTATGTATTTACAAAGAGTCATCCACATGCCCTTAGTTCTCATTCGGTGAGGACATCTGCCAAGGTAGGATTTGTTATATAAAAATGAATGAATAAAACAACAACTAGGTGGGAATCTCCAGGTGGAGATGAAACAGCAGACCCCAGAGAGGAGGGGCCCGGGAGGCGTGGGGGAGGGAAGACGCACCCCAGACTTCACCCCTTGTGCACCTGACACTCAGGAGCCGCTGACCCACCCTCTCCTGCATGGACCGGGGTCCCCAGGTCGTGAAAACATGGGGTCTCTCAGTGGCAGGGCCAGAGGCTTCTGGGATCTGAGTCTCTTACTGAACACAGAACACACAGCTTTCAACTGTTTCTGAACTGAGACCATCTTGTCACGGACCCTGAGCCCTTGGGCACAGCTCGCTCTTGTCACGGTGACTCAGAGCCGGCGCTGGACTCGGGCACCCCAGGGACACGGACGTGAAGGGGAGGATGGGCCCAGGGGAGGCAGCAGAGTCCTCGAGACTGGGGGCTCCCTGACCCCGGTGACCCCTGTCTCCACGTCCACAGACTCCCAGACCCAGAACTACACAGCGGGGAATCTCGTCCACATGGGCGTGGCTGGCCTGCTGCTGCTGGTCCTCGGGGGGCTGCTGCTTCAGGCTCGAGACACCGAGGGGACGGCCCACGCTGCCGCCAGGATGTGACCGCAGAGGGGACAGGGCATGAATCAGGGCGGGAGCCGAGGAGCCCATCTACGGACCCAGGAGGTGGTGGAGGGAGGTCTAGGCCACAGGTGGGGAACTGCCTGCTGAGAACGTGCAGAGGGAGCGGAGGTGTCCGACAAGGTTGGGGGCCGGAAACAGGAGCCGTGTTCCTGCGGAGACGCCTCCTGCACCTCACTGCGGAGCCGTCCCTTCTCAACATCATGGACTCCTCTGGACGGTCCTTCTGTCCTCACCCCGCGAAATGAGGGGCCGCCACACGAGGCTGGTTTTGATCCACATGCATAAAGCCCTTCATGCTGAATCCCAATCATATAAACAACATGTGTTGTCCTCACGCCTTGGAGCACTTGAGCCACAAAGAACGAAGTGCTGACACCTGCTACCTGCCAGGTGAACGTCAACATTCTGCAGAGAAACGCAGAGCCCGACGTTAAAGATCAAGTTTTCTGTGGCTGTGTTTCTATGAGAAGTCAAGAAGGACACGCCCAGAGACAGACGTCAGTATGGCCTGTCAGGGGCTGACGGGAGGAGAGACAGGAGACAGGGCCGCATGGTGTTTGGGGGCGGGGTCACGCAAACATCTTCTTGCACCAGATCAAACTGGTGACTGAGACATCGAGTATTTACAGTCCAGTGAATCCTGTATTACTAAAGGCTCCATTCTATGTTCCAAGAACTTATGCCATTAAACAGTAACGCAAGCCCATCCCCATGGTTCCCTGTGGATCCTTTTCACCTTAGAAGTTGCCCCGCGTCCCCGTGCACTTTCACGGGACGCAGGACCCCCACCAGGTCCGAGATGCGCTCCGTGCCCTGTGCTCAGGGCTCAGCCCCTGGTGGGGTTCCCACCCTCACTCCTGAGAGGGGCTGAGACCAGGACACAGGACGAGCCGCCACGTCCCTGTCTCCTCTCAGTCGCGGCTCATGTGCCATTAGGCCAAGGACGCCCTAGAGCTTCTGATTCCCCCTCACGGCTTGGGGGACACAGATGTGGCTTCCCAGTGGCCCTTCCTGCCACACGTCTCTCATGCCCGCGTCTACGTCAGGCCCCAGGAATGACTCCGATGGAGCCTCTTCGTGTCCCAGGCTCTGCTGACCCTCCCGACAACCGTGAGGCTGAGCTTCCAGCCTTGTCTGCAATGAGGGGAAGGGAGAGGGGGGTGACTGGCTCACACAGACGGTCAACAAATGCGTCCCCGTGTCATAGATTAAAACCTGCGAATAGTCTGCAACGAGGGCTTTTGCCCAGCACATGGGGGTGGACTGAGCAGGGCCAGAGGGCGGGTTATCCCCTCCCAGAGCAGGGCCCGGAGGAGGCAGACGTGCCCCAGGGGCCCGGAACGGAGACCTGCAGAGAAGGTCTCCTGCCCACAGATGCAAGGGAGGCAGAGAGAGGAAGCGCCAGGGACAGGCAGAACCACACGCCCGGCCAGGGGGGCAGGTGGATCCTGCTGTGGGTGAGGTGACACTGCTGTAACCCTGGCCCCACGCCGGCGGCCGTCCACGGGGCGGTCAGTCCTGGGACGGCCCCATTGGCTCCCCAGGCCACCCAGGCAGAGAGGGGAGGGGCCTCAGCTCTTCCCTCTCCTGCCCCCACACGATGAACACACCCCCACTCTGACCTGGAGCCCCCCTCTCTGCAACCCAGTCCCCTCCTCAGACTCGTGCACGTCAAGGCCCAGGACACCCTGTTGGCGGGACCAGACAGCCTCCTCTCTGGCCCCCGGCAGACCCGCCCTCCCAGCTGAGGGGCTGTACTCTCACGCACCTGAACTTACCTGTCCCGGACCCGCCCTGCACAAAGCCTCCCCCCAGGTCCCCACCTGCTCCAGCAACACCCAGGCAGCTCCACCTGACGGTCCCTGGGGCTGCAGATCGGGCTCAGCTACACCCTCCATCCCAAGCGGAGCCAACGCCTCCCTGCCCACCAGGCCCTTCCCATGCCCACCTCCCTGCCAGACTCACACCTGGGTCAGACCACACTGGGCTTGTCGTGGGAGCCACCTGAGCTGCCCCGCTCAGCGCTGACCCCGCACGCCTCCTAGACCAACATAATGACAAGACACACTCCTGCTTCATCTCACTCCGTGTGAAATAATTCACTGTTCGGGGATTTCTGTTCCATCTCTTGAGAAATTCGCAGAAACCTCTAAGGTTGCTGATCGGCTCCTCACTTTGGTGTCCGATGAGCGTGGCGGTTTTCTCGGAGGTTATCGTCCACGCCTCACTGCTACGCCTGTGCCCACAGAGCGGCGTCTTCTCAAAGCAGCGATCGGCTCACACGTTCCTTCACTGCAAAGGTTTCCACTACCTTTAGGGTCTCACAGAGGAGCCCCCCCCAGGGAGCGAAGGCCGCGGGGGACCAGGGCACAGCACACCCTGGTGACTCCCAGCTCTTAGAATCACCCCACTCTTCCAGCCCATTCCTCTCAGCCCCGTGCTGACCCCTCGGTGTCCGGCTCCCTCCCTCCCCTGCAGGCCGCCTCTGTCCGGGACATCCACCTGCTATGGAGTCTCTCTGGGCTCCGTTTTTCCCCTTCTCTGAGAGTTACCTTCTCTGAGAGTTACCGTAACAACACACACAGCCTCCGGTGCCTAAAGAATTGTGTTGTCTGAGGTCACCGGTCAGCACGGCATGTGCCCAGGGGAGGATTCGGTCAGCTTCCCCAATCCTCTGCCCGTCTGGACAGAGCACTTGCTCGGTAATCATCGGTTGGTTGCCGGATGGAGAGAGGCCGGAAGGACCTTTGCATTTGCATCGTCTCAGGAAAAGGAAGTGAATTGCCCATGGTGACGCGGGTTCCAGAAACGGCAGAGTCAGAGCTGGAACAGAGACTGGGTGCTCCTGAGTCCTGCCCGGCGTCCTCTACCCTCTCGGTCCGGGGCAGGCGTCGCCCTCTGGATTTGGGAGGCACATGAGGCGCAGGCAGAGCATGTGGGGTCTGCTGAGACTCAGACGCCGTCCCCAAGGTCCCAGAGTCTGATGACTCCCCCACCTCCTTCAGGAGAGCAGACTGCAGCCGTGGAGGACACTGTGAGTCGACACAGGAGCCGCACCCTTGTTGTACCCTGCGTCTGTCTGTGCGGCTGGGCACCTGGACATCGGAGGTCACCTGCTCCGCCGGGAACCCTGGGAGTCAGCGTCATGACCCTGACCTTCATTGCTCTGCTCTCTCTCGGTGAGATTTGGGGAAAAGGGACGGATGGGTCCCCTCCCCTCCCTGGCCCAGCCTCGGGGGGTGCAGTGGGGGCAGAAATTCCATGGGGAAAAGATATTGGCTCAGCCCCAGGTCGGACCCCAGCGCTGGGGGCCCTGACCCGGTTGGAGCCTCTGCGTGTGGGTTGAAGGATGATCTCACGGGGACTCCCTTCCAGGGCTGTGTGGGGGCCCCTGGGACCAGGTCCGGGCAGGTGAGTCCTCCCCCTGACCTCCTGCTTCAGCACAATGACCCCTGGGCTGCTGGGGACACACAGTGGGTCTGCAACGATGGTGACCCGTCTGGGAGGGGCCTTGGAGTGACAGCGGGGGGAAGTGCGGGGAGAAGGGCACCTCCTGACACCGCACGTCTGAACCCTTTTCAGAGGCCCTCCCCAGACCCTCCCTCTGGGCTGACCCAGGCCCCATGGTCAGCAAGGGCAGCCCTGTGACCCTCTGGTGTCAGGGGTCTCTGCGGGCTGATGCCTACACTCTGTATAAGGAGAGGCGCTCTGAGCCCCGGCTTACGAGGATCCCACAGGCCTCCAGCAACAAGACCGGGTTCCTCATTCCATCCACGAGCTCACACGATGCAGGGCCATACGAGTGTGTCTACAGGGCTGGGCGCTCCCTGTCTGAGCTCAGTGAGCCCCTCGTCCTGGTGGTGACGGGTAAGGAGGACCCCGGTCCTCTCCCCACTGCGGGCTCCCCCTCGGAGGCTGAAGGGAACAGAGTGGGGCCTTAGGGGGCCGCACCCCTCCCAGCCCGCAGCTGGGGAGGGTGGGGTGATGGCCACTCTAACTCACATCCTCCTCCTTCAGGAGAGTTCAGCGCACCGTCCCTCGAAGCCCAGCCAAGCCCGGTGGTGGCCTCAGGGGGGAACGTGTCCCTCGTGTGTAGCTCACAGTCATCATCCGGCCCTTTCCACCTGCTGAAGGAGGGAGGGGCTGAGCCGCCCCGACACATGGCATCGCAATGGAGTTACTCACCCAGGGGGTGGCAGGCCATCTTCCCTGTGGGCCCCGTGAGCGCCTCCCACGGGGGAACCTACAGATGCTACGTTTCTCGCAGCTCCTACCCCAATGTGTGGTCACATCCGAGTGACCCTCTGCGCATCGAGGTCACAGGTGAGGTGGCCCCCTTGGCTCCGTTCTTTCCTGTGCCCCAAATATCTCATCTAAATCTTGTTCTAGTAAATCCCTAGGGATCGTAGGGTCATCGACGTGGGTTTATTGGGGACAGAAACACAGGCAGGTCTAGAGGGACAGGTGAGGACTCTCCCTGCAGCCCCAGTGGAGGGGGGATGGGTGTCCCCTGGCTGCCAATGGCCCTTCTCCCCAGGCGTGTACAGGTCGCCCTCCCTCCGGGCCCAGCCAGGCTCCCTGCTGCTGCCTGGGGACAACCTGACCCTCCAGTGTCGCTCGGAGCCCGGCTTTGACAGATTCGCTCTGACCAAGGACGAGGGGCCCACACCCCCTCAGCGTCTCGATGGGCAGCGCAGCCCCGACTTCCCCCTGGGCCCTGTGACCCACACCCACGGGGGCCGGTACAGGTGCTACAGCGGACACAGCCCCTCCTATGCATGGTCGGCCCCCAGCGCCCCCCTGGACGTCCTGATCGTGGGTGAGGAGCCCTGTCCTGTCCCCTCTCCTGACTGTCTGCTCAGGGTCAGACCGGGGTCACCGTGGAGGTGATGGGGCCCAGGAGAGGGTCCTGGAGCAGAGGCGATTGGGGGCTGAGGTCTAGGGAGGGAGAAAGGGGAGGGAGGGGCATGGCTATAGAAGACGCCACCCAGAGGGACTGAGAGGAGCTGACAGGGGTCACCGACAGCGTCCATGGGGAAGGACGTTGTCACTCGCCTCAGGGCGCACGGCATTCGAGGCAGTGACCCTCTGCACAGCACCGCCCTCCCTCCCCAGGAGCGGACAGCAAACCCTCCCTGTCGGCCCGGCCGCCGCCCCCGGGGCCCTGGGGAGCCAACGTGACCCTGCTGTGTCGATCGGAGACCAGGGCTGACACCTTCCACCTGCACAGGGAGGGCTCCCTGGACCCTCCCCTGCAGCTTCGTCTGCAGGACACGGCTGCCCCCTCGGAGGCCACCTTCACCATCAGTCCTGTGACCTCGGGCCACAGTGGGACCTACAGGTGCTACAGCTCCCACAGCGCCTCCCCCCTTCCTGCTCTCACAGCCCAGTGACCCCCTGGAGCTCCTGGTCCCAGGTGAGGGGCCTCTACCCCACCCATGTCCCCATGGTCAGGTCAGGACCCTGTCCCCCAGGGGACTTTGGTTTGGATCAGGAGTGAGCGGGTGAGAGAGGGAGGGTCAGCCTGTGGGACTCTCACCTCCCCGAGGGATGGAAAAGCCAGAGCCACCCCTCTCCTGCCTCAGCCTCATCCTCATCCCTGAGGCCTAGACAGCGAGCATGTGCCCAGGGACAAGGGAGAGGCCTCGGGCAGAGCCCAGGCAGGAAGGGCCAGAGGCGCCCATCCCCACCCCCTCCTTCTGCAGCGCCCAGGGCTCACCCAGAGACCAGGACCAGATGGTGACTAGCAGAGGCCTTGCTCCCAGGAAAGAACACGGTCACCCGCCCTGGCTCCCTTGGCTCCCAGGGGCGGTGGGGCCGGGCAGAGAAGGTGGGGGGATCATGGGGCCCCCAGGGCCGTGAGGCTGACAGGTGACAGGTGGGGCAGTCATGGCAGGGAGAGGTGCGGCGGTCCCTCCCAGGGGACGGGGAGCCAGGCTGAAGCGGGGAGAAGGCAGCCCCCACTCCTCACCCCCAATCCTGATTCCCCGGCAGTTCTGAGGATCGGCCTCTCCCCACCAGACTCAAGCCCATAAAGTGATTGGTAAGGGTCTCTGTGGGGAGGTGGTGGGTGTGTCCTCAGGGGACTGGGGCTGAGTCCTTGGAAGTTCAGGTTCCTCTGGAGGCTCTGACTTGGACCAGCCCTCCCCCTCTCTGTGCCTCAGTGTCTCCACTTGTAAACAGAGAGAATCCTGGCCCAGAGCTTAGATTGCTTTCAGTTCGGGCTGTGATGTCCTGAGAGGGGGGCCTCTCAGGGATGCCTCCAGACGTTATGGAGACAGTCCCCTCGGTAGTAGTGATGGTGGCACTGTACACAGAGGGACAAGAAGGCTAAGTGTTTTTCCTCAGCTCTGGTGCTCAGCTCAGAGGAAGGAGCCAGGGCTGGAGTCAGTCCTGGCTCAGGTCCCGGCTCTGCGGCTCCCGCTGTGGGGCCCACGGTCCCTTCTCTTCTGTGAGTGTCGGGTTCACGTCTGTGCATCCCTGGTCCCCGCCTGCTCACAGGCCTGCGGTGACATTAGGTGACATGAGGGGCCTCACAGAGCTCAGGAAGGCAGAGCCCCAGTCCCACCAGACCATCTCAAGGTGGTTTCATGGTCCTACAGGGTGGAGACAATCCCGGAAGAGACACAGAGTCCATCCGACACCCCTGCCCCTCCCGTGTCCCTGCTGGGCTGGGGGGCAGGGAATAGGGCAGGACCCTCCGCTCCAGATGGGACAGGACAGGCCCCTGCAGAGGAGGAGCCCAGAGCTCGGAGCTGGTGTCCCCTGGGGGCAGCATGGGGACAGCACAGGGAACCCACGTCCGGGGTCCGGTCCCTGCCCTGCCCCGGCCAGGCTGGGGGCCCCGGGGCACGCGGCTCACCTCTCTGAGCCCCCGGGGACTGGGCGGTGGGTCAGCGATCCCTGGTGCAGGGGGGCTGTGAGGTTAGAGGAGACGAACCACAGACCCCAGCATGTGCCTCGCACACAGTAGGGGCTCATGAAAGGGCATCTTGGCTCATTCATGACGTCACTCCAGCCCAGGGTCTGCAGTGGTACTGGAAGGTGCTGATCGGGGTCTCGGCGGCCCTCACGCTGCTGCTCGCCCTCCTCCTCTTCCTCTTCCTCCGACACCGGAGTCAGAAGAAAGGCAGGACGTTGGGTGAGTAGGGGACGGGGTGACCGGGATCCCAGGAGAGGGGCTCAGAGCATCTGCTGACGGAAAATCAAACAGGTGGAGAAGGTCAGCTGAGCAACAGATTTCTCCAGAATCTCAAATCAGAAATTCTAGAAAGAAAGCACTCAATGTCAGAACATGTATATAAAGGCAAGGTCATCTTTCATCATTTTCCGTTTCCTGAAACATGAACCTCATGCACAAGCATGTGTTAAGGTTTCCTTCTTCCCTCTGGGATCATGCGGGGAGGGCCCCCCACCCAGCCAGGGCGGGACTGTCCCTCTTGACCAGCCCAGAGAGAGGCTGATGTCTGACCTCCTGCAGGGGCCACGGACTCGGACCCGAAGGACAGAGGCCTGCAGATCAGGTAATTCCTGTGCTGAAGACCCCAGACCCCCACCGCACAAGACCCCGCGCTGCCTCTAACACCCTGTCTCCTCCCTCAGCTCCCGCCCAGCTGCGGACGCCCAGGAAGAGCCCCTCTGTGAGAGGAAGGGACCGCTGCCCTGGGGGAGGGGCACAGGGGTTCCAGGAGGCCACGGGGGAGGGGACAGCCTGGGAGGGCGTGGGGTCAGGGGTGAGGGGGACGGAAATCCCCACAGCCTGACCTGGCCGCTCGCTTCACCCTGGGTTAGTGGCCCATCTGGGGACAGCGGGTCTGCAGCCCTGGGATCCCGGGGACCCTGCCAGGAGACACACCCTGTTCTGCCTCCGCAGATGCTGCCATGAAGGACCCACAGGCTGGGGAGGGCGTGGAGCTGGACCCTCGGGTGAGACCCCTGCCCCTGTCCAGGCCTCCAAGGACCTTCCTGTTGCCCAGTTCACTCCAAGGGTCCCTTCCCTGTCCTCCCCTCCCCTGGTTCTCAGCAGCGTCCACACTGACCTCTCCATCTGGGCACCAGGCCGTCCTGCTGTGACTCACTCCTCCCTTTCCTGGGACCTCATGGCCCCTCCTGGGGGGTCCCCTGGGCTGGCCCCTCGTCCCCTGTGTGACCTTGGGCAGCCCCAGGTCTCAGGAGGAGGCGCGAATGAGTGACTCACCCCAGGCCCCAGGGCCCCTTCACTCAGTCACGCAGCCGCCGTGACGGGAGCTCCCTGGGCACCGGCTCCATGTAGGGGCCGCGGTGCCGCCCCGAGCAGCCTGTCCCCACACTCGTCCAGCCCACCTGTGGGCGAGGGAGACACCTGCACACAGGTGATGGCGTCCTGGAGGGCCAGCTGCTGTGAAGGAGAATAAAGCAAGAGCAGGGGGTGGAGTGCGTGGTGAGGGGGGAGAGCAGCGGACACAGCAGGTGCAAAGGTCCTGAGGCAGGACATGCGCTTCAGCCAGAGGGGCCGAGTGGGTGGAGCCAAATGAGCAGAGACACAGAGCATTAGGTTACAAGTCAGAACTGTAGACCCTTCCAGATGCCCCAAGGCTCAGGAAGCCCCTGCAGATTCCATCAGGACAGTGACCTCATCTGACCTGAAGTTTAAATCCTCACTCTGACCCCATGTGGATACTTGATGGGAGGATTCAACAGTGGGATCGAGGACATGCTGTCTCTGTCTCACTGTCTCTCTGCAGCAGAACAGGCCCCGTCACGACCCACAGGGAGTGACATGTGCCCAGGTGAACCGCTCAAGATCAAGGCTCAGGCAGGGAATGGTCTCCTCTCCTTCCCTGTTGTCAGGGGAATTGCTGGACAGGAAGGACAGACAAGCAGAAGGGGACAGACAGATGGATAGACAGATGGGTCCCACCCTCTCCAGCCCCCAGGCGTCCCCCACCCCAGCCACATCTCACCCTCTCACTGTCCCCTGCTCCAGGCTGCTGCACCTGCGGCCCCCCAGGAGGTGACCTACGCCCAGCTGACCCACCTGACCCTCAGACGGGAGACAGGTGCACCCCCTTCCTCCCCGTCAGACGAGCCCCTGGCTGAGCCCAGTGTGTACGCTGCTCTGGCCGTCCACTAGCCCTGGAAGGACCCAGACCCCACACTCCAGGGAGGGGGCCTGCAGGGGCCCCAGAAGGCACAGGAGCTGCCCCCAAGGACACTCAGCAGTGGCCCCGGCCAGGCTGGTGACCTGAGATGGACCCGCAGCAACTTCTGGGCCCCCCTGGGAGCCCTCTGCTTCTGCAATCACAGCCAACTACTACCCCTACACCTTGGGATCAAAGCAGCAGACTTCTCAAGAATCAATGTGTGAATTTACAACCAAAATGGAAGTGAGAGCATGTCTTCTATGAGTGATAACGTAAATACTAAACATCAGACCTACAAAATGGAAAATTAAGGACCATAATGAATATCTTTGAAAAGAAAAGGGCAAAGTAGGAAAAAACCTAAGCGTTGCTCCACAAATGCTGAGATAGAGATGTGGTATGTTTGCGATGGAATGTTACTCAGATACAAGATGATGAAATGCAGTCAACACAACAACATGGATGTGTCTTGAGAGTATCATGCTAAGTGGACTAAGTCAGACAAAAAAAGCACAAGGACTCTATGACTTTACTCATGTGTGAGAACTGATACGCTGAAGTGTCATATATATTAGTGATATTGAACTTGCAATTAAAAATTTTCCTGCAAAGTGACTGTGGAGTCTGAAAAGCTTCACTGGTAAATGCTTCTGAACACGTATGCATGTATGAAATACACACACGCACTCATGGGCATACACCCAAACATACACAGATATATACACACAAACATACACATGGACACAGCCATACAGAAAGCAGCTAATACAGAAAGAAAACAAATGAACTCGTGCATTTAGACATCAAAATATTAGTTACCTGAGGGGAAGGGTGTTGGCAGAGGATGAAAAGGGTAAAGGGGGTTTTGGGTACGGTGACCGAATGAGACTAGACCTCGGCTGGTGGGCACAGCAAGGAGCATACAGGTGATGTATTATGTCAAAGATTTACAGGAAGAGTAGCGAAGTATTCTCAATGAGGAGAGAAGGAGGAGAATAATAACAATGAGAGGAGCTCCTGAGGATAAACAAAACATGAGTCAGGAAAGCCCAAAAATTTCATTCTTGAAAACGTTAATCCTGCCACAGAGTCCAGCCCAGTGGGCACGGAACGAAGCGAGAAGGCTCGCGTCACCTCTGCCAGGACAGCATCTCATCTCAGATGCTACGTTTCAAACAGGTAACAGAGCTCCGTGAGGCTCCTCTGCCTGAGACGCAAATAATAGTCCATGTCAACTGTACTGTAATAAATTAACGAATTTTTAAAAGAACATTATGCCTAATTTTATACCAATATATCAGAAAATGTAGACGAAATGGACAAAATCCACAAAAATACAATTTACGAAAATGATGGACACAGAATAAATAGAAACTCTAAACTGTCTTATATTAAACGCTTTGAGTCTGTAATTTAAACTTTTCCCACAAAATGAATGAGGAGTCTGGGAAGATTCGCCGGTAAAATCTTCCAAACGTTTTTGTATGAAACACACACACATGGACACACAGTCGCGAAAATACACCCAACAGCCTTACACAAGCTTCTCCTGAGACAAGAGGAGAAAGGCACATCCCCCGCACAGTTTATCAGGCCAGAAGTAAATGAATAAGGAAACCAAACGAGGGAGCTACAAAGAGGGAGCATCACAGGAGGCTCTCACGTGAGCTCAGGGGTAGAGTCCGAAACAAGAGTCAGCAAGATGCATCTGCACAGAAACTGGATAATCTCTCCCGACCGCGCGGGCCTGAGTTTTATGGAATGCATGGTGGTTTTCATATTAAAAACATCGATCAGTACAGTTCAAACTGTAAAAGAAGAAACAGCAAAAACAGAAAAACAAAGATCCCATTAACAGATGCAAAACTTCTGCTACTAATTTATACTAATTTATACTGTATCAGTACTAATACAGCACTAATTTATAATGAAAAGCCCTTCAAAAATACAAGGACATTTTCTATCATTTATCAAAGCACCTTTCAAACACTTCATAAAAGAAATGATGTTTAAACGTAAAAACTTGAAAACTTTTCACCTGCGATTGAGCCGGGGACAAAAATAGTCACTATGGAGCTGCGCCTGCGCACCACCTCCCCGCACACTACGCCTGCGCATTTCTCCAGCCTGTCCGCACCCACACGCGCTCCGCCTTCCTCCCCAAAGCAGGGAAGCGCCACCACCCCGATGCCCCGCCCAGCTGCAGGCCCCGCCCAGCGCCCGGCGCGTGGGGCAGTTCCCTCCCGCACAGCCCCAGGTCCCACCCCCGCCCCTGCTTTGGCTCCGCCTCCCGCACCTGCACCTGCCCCTCCAGCGCCCACCACAGCATCTTCTGAACCGGCACCTGCTCGTGCAACCCAGCGGGAGAGCCCTGCAGAAGAGCCGGCCGGAGCCCCCTCGACGGTCGGGACAACCGGACATTCTTCCCCGTCAAACCTTTCTGAAGGTGCACCGAGCGCGCTGTGACAGGTCAGTCCTCTGAGAACATGGTCACTGAGATCCTGTCGATGGGCTGTGAACTCGAACAAGCGATGGCAGCCCTGCGAGCCGCCTTCAAGGACCCTGACAGCCGCGCTGTGTCTTTGATGGGGATCCCCGGAGACCGAGGAAGTCAGGCTGTGCTTGGGCCCCCTCCCGCGGCTCGTCCCGGGGCGCCGCAGCCCAGGGCCCGGTCCCTGGAGAGTCTGAGGCAGTACTAAATGAGGGCACCCAGGGGGTTTCCACGGACGGGACACGCAGGAGCCCCTGACACCAGCCCCTCCCCCATGGGCCCCGGGTCCCCAGCTGTTGAGTTCTGGTGACTCTCAGCCGTAGACCAATAAGCTCATGAGTTCTCTGCCTCCCACTAAACCCAGAACACACAGCTCTTCCTTATTTCCCTACTGAGACCGTTCTCATCCCTCACCCTGAACTCCCAGGGGAGAGCTCCTATGAAAGGGACTCAGAACAAGTTCTGACTCCGGAGATGGCAGGCTGAGATAACCCAAGGAGGAGACAGGGAGCCTGGCTGAGAAGAGGCTCAAGACACGAACATGCAAAAGTTATGACGTGTGAATGGGGCATCAGAGGGCGCAGACCCCAGCAGGAAGGCTTGTGTCTCCCCGAGTCCTCACTCACAGCCTCATTTCATGATTCTCAGGGGCAGCCCACACCGTCAGCCCATCAAAAGCCAGTCAGTCCCCAGGGGTGGGGAGTAGGAGAAACATTCGGTGACGGGACAGGGTGCAGAGCGCCATGTCCTGCCAGAGGGAGGCAGGTGTCCTGGGTGGACATCCTGGATTCTGGGGTGATTTTGGTCTGCCCTGGCCTCTGTGACGTTTGTGCCAAGAATGCCTAGCCTCCCACCCTCAAGACTACACAGTGGAGACTCCCATCTGTATGGGCTTGGCTGTATTGGTGCTGGTGGTCCTTGGGGTGCTGCTGCTTCAGGATTAAGACAGCAAGAGGAGGGCCCACGCTGCCGCCAGGACGTGAACACGGAGGGGACAGGATGGTGTCCAGCGTGGGGGAGCCGTGGAGCCCATCCGATGACCCAGGAGGTGGTGAAGGACAGCCTGGCCCCCAGGTGGGGAACTGTCTGCTGATTTGTCCAGGGGAGTAAACAAGGTTTGGGTGCAGGGAGTGTCTGAGTGCTCCTTGTGCAGGGCTCTTCCTCCATTAAATCTGTGTTTTCTCTCTTTTTGTTGACTTCCTGTAACAACCCCCCTTGTTTTCTTACAGGAGGTCCATCCCACGTGGCTGCTTTGAGTCCACATACCTAAAACCTCATGCTCTTCTCCACTGATATGTAATAAAATGTTCTTTATATATAATCACATTACCAGCTGACCATTATTGAATCCATATCTGCTCAGTTCACAGAGTTAAACTGGTTTCAGTAACTGATTAAAGGAACTAAGAAAGATACAAGCCTGGGAAATACAGATGCAACCCGATGCTACCACCCTCCCTGTTCCCGCAGTCCTTCCTGTCTCCATCAGATGCCACCTGTGCTGTGTCCCCAGAAATGTCTTCCCTGGAAGGGGCAGCCTGGTGGTGTGCTGTTCTGAAAACACCTGTTTTAGAGACCTTGGACTTGTGACATTTGCCCGTTTCTGTGGTGTCAATTCTCCCTTCATGGCCAACCCAAAATGGCAATGTGACTTCACCGAATGCAGAGTTGAAAGATTAGAGTCATCGTCACCACCGAGTAAGAGCCATCTGACCCACAGCTCCCTGTGCACTCAGTGTTGACCTGCATTTCTTCATCTTTCAGAGACGATGACACTTTCTACAGCAGTGTCAGTGACAACACAGAGTCAGTGACAACACAATCCCAGAAATCGCAGGCAGGAGTCAAGAGAAAAAAATATCAAATCTGAAGACAAATGGACTCAGAATTCAAATACACTTCAGCCAATTTGGGGAGTCCATTGGAATTATGTAGTTAAAAGGAGGAGACACAGAGTCATGACCATACGTGTATGTGCTGGAGAACAGGCATATGCAGACACAAGCTACCCTCACAAGAACAGTGACTCTCATGTTGTAAAAACAAGCACATGCCACAAAACCCCATGAATGAAAAGGAAAGATGGGTGCTATTTGTTCACCATGACCTACCACATGGCAATGTAAAAGCACAAATTAAATCACCAAGAACAATGCCTGTCAATCTTCAAACATGCTGGTGAGTCAATGAAAGAAGCGTCTCAAAAGAAGACATGCAGGGCCATTCCATTACACAACACTCAGAAAGAGACGCCATTTGTCACTCAGGCAAGCTCACCTAAGAGAAACCCTATGAACCAAAGTGGGAAGAGATCCCGCGTGATCCGTTTAGGGGCTAAATATAGTGCAGTGTTGAAGGTTTGTTCAAAGGTCCTTCATGACTTTCCTTTGGTGGCTTCAAAGCGCAGTTGTCATTATAGGAAAATGCTGCCTTTCTATTTGGTGACTCATCTATATTTTCACACAATGGAGTGAGCTGTGATGAAGTAGGGTGGGAAGA